AATTACTGCCGGACGGGATCGATTTCGGGTTCGGGACTTTGTAATCTAAGACGGTCGCCGGTTCTATTCAATAATAGAAAAATTCATAAAAAATATTAAAATACAGATACATACAGACCAGTATAACGAATTAAATTAGCATGTATACACATAATGCTACATAAAAACGCGAATCCGATAGAAATTGGTCGCGAATGAGAGGTCGGTGCGACAATAGCTGTTGCCAATCGGACCGTAGTTCCGTTTCCTACAAAACATGGACCACGCAAGCCTCTGTGCATTTGCACGCTTTTTTTAATATGAATTATGTTTTAGGCGATTTTTTAATGTGTTGCCTTATACTGCCAAAAGACTAAAAAAAAACAAAAGTGAATACTAGATGCTAGTAAAGAGTTTCTCGTTCTTGTTACCAAATTACGACATGCGATAGAATGTGTTGAACTAAACGTAAAGCAGTTCCATCGTAATAAAACGGAAGATTATTTACGCTGCATTAATATGTTATTTCCTATTTTCGCCTAATAAAGTCCGACTATCTCGCTACTTTTTGGACCCTGTCTACCCTTTCGGGTTGCGTCTGCCCAACTCCTCGGACTACAGGCGTAATGCTACGACTTCTCCTTTCGGATATATAGAGCTCATCAAAAAACCTTATGATTAATTATGTTATTTAAGGCTACAACCCGAGCTCTTCTGCTTCTTTAGCATCAGCCCGTAACACTCCGCAGCTGGACTTAGGCCTCTTTTTTTATAGGATAGGGTGACAAACGAGCACACAGTTCACCTAATGGTAAATGGTTGCTGCGGCCCATAAACATTACATCTATCCTCGATTACGAATCAAAATGCAAATGCGTTGTCACCCGTGAGGACTAAGATGGAATGCCTCGTTTCCAGTAAAAAGGGTCTCCGGTTCCCTTCACTTACCATACGAAGCACAGCAGCGTTAGGCTGCTATTTTACGCTGGTATTCAAGGCCTCGCCAGTTGTAAGGAGGATATTTACCTAAATCATCACGTTTGACAGGCAGATTGAAGATTGCAGTACTGGATTATTCGCACCTTTGACACTGCTGCTCGTTACCGTCTGGGATATTTTACATGTGGAGTAAACAAGATAGCTTTCGCGAACACTACACATTTAAATAAAACTATGTTTTACGGATTTTAGGGATTTTACATAGTACTGCGTAGATGGGACCTGGGTGGGATGGAAGAATTAATAATGTTAATCTGAAGGTAGGGTGGGGGGTAACAATGGGAATATTAAATAAGTTAACATACGCGATAAATTAGTAAAAACTAGTATTAATTAAATATTTATACCGCTATCTATCGGAAGCCATAATATTTTGCCCGGATTTTCCATAGGCGTCTCTTACGGCACCCACTGAAAGAAATGGGGTGATGCATTCACTTACTTTAATTTATTTATTGAATTCATTTCTAATATAAGATTACTACATTTTTATTTTACTCCTTTTTTTAATTGTAATAAACCGCTAGGTGCTAAGAGAGTATGAGGTACCGACTGTGGCAACACATGCAGAGTCGGATGCCTTTTTGTTGCTGCGACCTAATGTATATGTGTATATTGTTATTTTTTTGCTGCTTTATAGTTGTCATTTTCTTTATACTGTGCATTATGCTGTGTGTGACGAATAAATCATTCATCCGAGCATTCTTATTCGCCGGTACCAAACGCTCTCGTTTCACATGGCCACATAGAGCTCGGTTTAATGTTTAGTCATATCACACGACTGAGCGGGTGGAAATCAAAGGAAAAGACTAGCAATTCTGGAAATTATGCAGTAATGACAGGCAACTCCGCCTGGTCATTACACCGCGTATATTGTTAGGTGACCAGTTATACGTTATTAGTATGCTAATAAGTTTCATCAACTTTCCCTACAGCTCGCTCCATGAGCACGCGTCGATACGTTTTTTCTCTTTTGCCAGAGTTACATGCATTACAAAATGTAACCTCTTAATAAATAACAATAAAATAAACTTTATTTTTTCGTTTTATTTACTTAAAAATTAATAAAACTACTGGCTACTTTAAACTTTAAAAATATTAGGATTAAATGATATAATTTATGCATATGTGAGCCACCCCATGGTGTAATATATATTATATACTAATACACTTTTTACTGGTAAAGAGACATACCATCTTAGTCCAAGTATGAATGTCTGTGTGTCACTCATCATCAGGTGGACTGTGTGCTCGTTTATCACCCTTAACTATTAAAAAAAGTAATTGTTAAAGATTTCGTTATTCATTGTTGTAAATACTTTAAGGAATAAAACTGCTTTGTGTGACGATAAATCAGTTGACGAAGTATCACTGTTGGATGTTTTATAGGTAGATGTTTGTCAAGCATGACTACCTGTGTACTTGTAAATAAGTAATTGCAAGCGAAATACAGTAGGCACCGGTTCTCCTTGACCTGCTAAGGGTCATGTTCACGCCTAACATCGGATACCTTTTGCGTGTGGTAACTGATTGAAGTCATTATGTTATTAGATGCTCTTCAGTGGTGTATTAAGTTAGATAATTAGTTGATAAATATACGAGTATGGAGTACCTGTATTATTTACGACACTTTATTTCGTGAAAGCAAAGTAACTTTTTTAAAATTTTTCCTTTCAATCTTTTTATTTTTTGTATTTGTTTAAAAAAAATTATTTACACAAACATAATGCGTGGGAAAAGATAACTATTAACCGTCATTAAGATGAAGTTATGAAGAGATGCAGTATTTTGTATAAAAAAACATAGCTATCACACTCAATATATATTCAAAAAGATAATCGCTGACAATGCCGTATCCTAAAAAGAAATGTTATAAATAACTGTAAACGCCTTTTTAGAAAACACGGATGCGTAGGTGATACGATATTTTGGGCATATTCCAATGAAATTGATGAACGGTGTAACCTAAAACATTTTAAGTTTAATACAAAAATACGGTCAATATGATATTAGTTTAATGGTTATATTATGTTGCAGATCACCGAAAGTGTGATAAAAGTTTTCAAAGTTTAATACTTGAATGTGAAATTGTACTAAAATCTCATATAATTAAGCAAAAGCACTTTAATCGAAAACCAATTAAAATAATATAGGGATACAAATACATTACTATTTAACTTTTATTATTATATAGGGAAATAACTTGCAAAACAACAAAATGACTAGCACTTTTAACAAAAAATAACACAGTAGGCAAAGTGCTACTTCATAAATCATAATGTATCAATTAATAAAATCTTAAGGTCGGTTTTTACAAACCAAAGTGAATTTCATTTTAGTTTTTTCACAATTGATTGTTCAACTAATTAGTTTATACGAGTTAGAGCCACGCTACAGCTATATTATGGTTGTAGCACGAATGGGTCGGCACGACTTGAGATGGACAATGCTCTCACAGAATATTAGCGTAAAATAGTAGCCTAATACTGCTGTTTTTCTTATTATGAGTGTGAAGAAACGAAGACCCTGAAAACGAGGCATTCCATCTTAGTCCTCAAGGGTGACAACGCACCCGCATTTTGATATTTAATCGAGGATCGATGTGGATGTCTATGGGCCACAGAATCCACTTACCATCAAATAGACTGTGTGCTCGTTTGTCACCTTCATTTTTAAATGTATAAACAAATAACATTTGGTAATTTAATTACATAACCGTATTAGCACTGCGTTGTTAGAATAATATACATAAATACTAATGTAATTACTCTGGCGAAGTGTGGCGGACCAATAGGAAGAAATAATCTTTTATGTGACGACAGAATCATTAGAGAGTTTTTCTACTCATATAAAAGTTTAACAAAGGCGACAAAAATTGTTCCTCGTTCGTTTCAGGCGAAGTCATGAATAGATCGATTACATCGAGATGATCGAGCGATTGGAAAGTGCCCGCAATCGAACACGAGCGACAAGTAAAAAATAACTACGTTTTGTAATCGACACATCATTTTAATTCTGATTTACAATATCGGTAATTTCTGTATTAGTAACGCTTCTGCGTTTTATATTTCGGAAAAGTTACAAACGAATATGTACAGTGTTCTACAAAAACGAGCTCAATATTTAAACACTACCGATTTTTCATTCCATTCTTAGATAATGTTTTCTACAGTGTTGTTTTAATCCACTTTACAAATATAAAATGATACAGTTTATTATTATTTAATTCTGATTTTAAAGTACTTATGCAGTTTTTGTTGTGAGATGTTTATGATGATTTTACTGATAAAAATAAAAGTGTTAATTTTGATTTCGGTTCCTTAAAACATTCTAACTTACTATTTCAAACTAACATGATAAATATTTAATTTATTTAATAAAAATTTGAATAAATTTCATAATTTGTGAAAAAAGAAATGTTTGTATCTATATTTCCAATGAAACATTTTAAAGATAAAGGAAACAATGCAATATATAAGTTAATCATTAAACACCGGGCCCTCACACGTGACATCGTTATTATTGGCAAAGAACGTAAATCCATACATCATCAACAAACAACAAGTGATTGTTTTCTTCTTTTTTTTAATGAAATTGAAGTGACGAGCTCACAGTCTACCTGATGGTAAGTGGCTACAGCAATCCATAGACATCTGCAGCCAACTTCAAACAAGAATACTACAAGAGTTCTCAGAACTAAGATGGACTGCCTTACAACCTGTAAATGCACGCAATGCTGCTTAGCAGAAATACCTAAGAGAGTGGTGAGTTGACCCACAAAGACGAAACCCTGGGCAGAAAAGAAGTTTTACCACTTAGTTTTCCTTCGCCACTTTTTTATTTACTATATACGATGGTGTAAATGTCCACCGCGCAGTACTGGCGACGCTATTTAAAGTTGTATCGTTATTTACGCTTACAAAAAGTTTAATTCATTATGTGTGTTTTTCATTCACACAGTGTTGGGAACTCATGACGCTTTGGAAAAGGTATAAGAAAAGTTATAAACAATTCAACTCTACCTGTGCAACGTCCGTTTTTTCCGTTAAATTCTCAAACCTGGCGAGAATCTCTTTCACAGACACTTTTGGCTGGGTTGTTTCCTCGTGTATCGTCTCCATATGACCACTAGACGACGACGAGAAACTTTGGGGGCATTTTTTGGCCGAATCGCTCTTACGCGTTCGTGACGGTTCGGGGTCGCGCGTGTCCGCTCCGGAATCAGAGTCCTCGGGATTGGAGACGTCCGCACTCGATGCGGCACCTTCAGAGGAGTTGATGAGGGAGTCGAGGCTTGGAGCGCGTCGCGGGGGTGAAAACTCCTCACGTTCGAGCTCGAGGCCGTACATGCGTTGGAGGTGCCGCCAGTTGTCACGCATCGCGAGCGAGAGGCGCGGCCGCTGCATGGTGCGCGCGCGCGCGCGGCTTGTAATCGACTGTGCACGCGACCCGTACTCCCGCTCACCTAACTACCATCCCATGGTGCATCAAACTACGTTTTAATGCTTATTAACATTTAAAAACCATATGACACCTCTACCGTATCATCAACCTGCATTAGCGTAAACCATGAATTTACTGTAAAATATTACGGCTTGTTGAAAGTTTGGTCATGTGGAAAGAATGAACGAGGAAAGAGTGACAAAGAAAATTTATGTTGCAGAAGTGAATGGCAGAGTCGGAAAGGGACGTCCTAGGCGAAAATTTATCGACCGAATTAGCGATTTATTAAAAACGGGCCAAATTAGGAGTACCGTTAACCGACGAGCATGTATGCGTAGGTATACGAGTATATATGGATGTGAAGGAGGCGAGAGACAGAGAGGTGTGTCAGGATCGTGCTAAATGGAAGTCTCTGCCTACCCCTCTGTGTGACAGGCGTGTTTATGTTTTTATGTTTTTTTTTTGTATTACGGCTCTCGCTCAAAAGATTTCACAGTTGATAAGACGTAAAACAATATAGACATGTTGCATTAACGCTCTCGATAGGTAATCGCTTTTCCATATGACATACGGCGAGCGCACGAAGATCGTTCATCGCAATTTCCTTTAATATTCTCGCTTTATAATTTCGTTGCGTTTACACGAGAGTCTCAGCGCTATAATTTACAAGATAACATTTAAATTTCCTTCTAGCTAAAGACTAACAACGTAAACCGTTTTACTGTGATGATAGTCAGATTAACACTTGTTCTTATAGTAAATGCAGTAGAAGTACATTCATACTAAATATTTATATACATAATTATTTGATCGAATTACGAATATCATCCGATAAAATAAATCATGGAATATAAGATGTTCGAGGTTTTAGACTTTTTTGTACATAAAGCATTCCACTAATATTTGTTAATGTTATTTTTATATTATGGTAGAAACTTGAAATTTATAGAGATTATAACGCCACCTTTTTGATATTTGATGTTTGTTTTATCATTGAAGTTTAATTTTAATAAAAATGTAATAAAATATATAAATTTTAAAATGTTTCTTGACTCAAAAAGTCTTTAATTTATTCATAAAGCAATGGCAATGATCTTTAGAAACAAATAAAAAATGTAAGATACCAGTTTAAATTGTTTGAATAGAAGAAAGACAGTATAAACAGTGGTATATAATAAAACTAAAAATATGAAATATAAATATTTATACAATGTTATAAACTATCCTAATAAGAAAATTATACCAGAATTTATTGTTTTTTTTTCCGGATAGAGATAATTTAAAATACCAGTGTAAATACATATTAAAAAAAATAAAGTACATTTTAATTCGTTACTACAAAAAATACACTAAGGACATATAGTTGCATTTTAGTTATTATTTAAGCACGTTTATAATTTATAACATATGCATACATTACTATATAATATTCTATTCATATTTGAATAATAATATCTTAAACTTACATAGAAAAGGTATTACAATTATGTGTTGTAAAGTGTCGAGTAAAATTTTAAAGGAATATAACAAAAATGGTCCTAATATATATGTAAGAGAAATGTGTACGTATAGGTTGCAGATACCTAACGTTCAATTAAAAGCGTTGTAAAAACCGACAATGAAATTTTTCATATTACGTTTCTTTTCTAAAGAGGATGAATCAGGAAATGATCGCACAAGCTGGTCATTTACGAGCCAATGCAACCATGTGTAGCGGAACTGAGTAACGCGAGGTCAGCGTAACGGACCCTCTCATCTTGGCGCTTTAACGGGAGCCATATTGGTGGTTACAAACTCACTGTAAGCGTACAGAGTAGCTAGAGCCGGCGAAATGATGGTGAATAATGTGTAGACATGGTCACGTTTTTAGTTCCACTTGCATTATTTGACAACAAATTCAATAAACAATTTTATAAAAAATAGATAAAAATTTATTACATTCTAGCCTTCAAAAGTGTTTCTTAACATTTTTTCATTTTTTATACTAATTGATTGATAAATCTTTTAAGTTTTCGTGTATATATATATAAATAATAAATAATATTCGTAAATTTCGATCAAAGATTTGATTAATATTGAAGAAAATATATACATTGACTTTCTAATGTGCATAACCATAAAATTGAAACGTACTCCATATTACAATGACATAAAAAATGTTTTCTTTAAGTATCAGTCTTACAATATTTTTTTATAGGATAGGGTGACAAACGAGCACACAATCCACCTGATGGTAAGTGGTTGCTGTGGCCCATAGACATCTACATCTATCCTCGATTACAAATCAAAATGCAGATGCGTTGTCACCCGTGAGGACTAAGATGGAATGTCTCGTTTCCAGTAAAAAGGGTCTCCGTTTCTCTACACTTACCATACGAAACAGAGCAGCATTAAGCTACTATTTCATGCTGGTATTCTGTGAGAGTGTGGTCCTTCCCCGATCGAGACGACCCATTCGTGCTACAATTATACTACTAATATAACTGCACACTGAAAATGTTATAGTTGTAACGCGCTAAGCGCACTATTTTCTCATTTACTGTAAGGATGATAAAAACGGGGCTAGCATAATACATTATACAACCCCTTCAATATTAGTCAATAATTATTTTGATTGCGGTTACGAGTTCTGAATGTGTTTTAATAAAAAGTGTTAGAAGATTCAACTATAAACAAACTGACGATAAAAGCTCTGTATATTGTATACTGCCTTTTTGACTTCCGTAAAATATCTAAAATATATAAACATAAACATAACATAAACACTCACGCCTGTCACCCAGAGGGGTAGGCAGAGACTACGGACTTCCATTTGGCACGATCCTGACATACCTCTTTCGCCTCTTTTACATCTTACGCATACATGCTCGTCGGTTAAGGGTACTTCTAACGTGGCCCCTTTTCAAAATATCGCCAATTTGGTCGATAAATTTTTTTCTAGGGCGGCCCTTCCCGATCGGCCGTTCACATCTGCCATATAAATTTGGTTTGTCACTCTTTCCTCATTCATTCTTTCTACATGACCAAACCACCGAAGCATTCCTTTCTTAATCCTGGTCACAACATCATCTTGCATACCACATTTATCTCTTATCACGCAATTTCTCACCCTGTCATTCAGATTCAACCCTAGCATACTCCTTAAAGACCGCATTTCTACAGCATTTATTCTACTTTCGTGCTTCTTCTGCCACACACAGCTTTCACTACCATACATTAAAGTAGGGACTAACACAGCATTATGAATTACCATACGTGCCTTTTTTAACACATTCTGGTTCTTCACAATAGAGTGTAGTGCCCCATTCACTCTATTCCTTGCATTTACTCGTCGTTCTATATCCCTATCATATCTACCATCCCTGCTAAATATACATCCCAAATACACAAACTCATCCACTTGCTCAATTAACTCTCCTTCTATTCTTATTTCACATACCGTTTTGCTTTCTTCTCTTTCAAAAACCATCACTTTCTTCTTACTTGCGTTCACTTTCATTCCCCTTTCTTTTAATTCCCAGTTCATTAATGTAACCATCATTTGCAACTCAGCCGCCGATGACGCAAATATGACTTGATCATCGGCATACAAAAGGCATTTGACGGTTAACTCGCCCATTCTTAACCCACATTCTTCATCTTTCAAAGTTTGCAAACACCTGTCTATAAATAGGTTGAACAGCCAAGGGGAAGCTACACAGCCCTGTCTGACACCTTTTTGGATGCCAAACCAGTCCGAGTAGACCCCATTGATCCTGACACAAGCACTAGAGTCCCTATAAAGAGACCTTAATGCCTGTATCAAACCAGCGCTCAACCCATATGAGTTCAGAGTTTGCCATAACACATTCCTGTCCACTCTGTCATAAGCCTTTTCCAAGTCCATGAACGCACAAAAAACTTTCTGGTTTTTGGCCAAAAACTTCTCCGCAATCATGCGCATGGAAAAGACTTGATCTGTACACCCCATTCCCTTTCTAAAACCCGCTTGCACATCCCAAATTTTTCCATCAGTTTCTTTCATAACTCTTTCAATTAACACCTTAGCATACAGTTTACCCACAATACTAAGCAAGCTGATTCCACGGTAGTTTTTGCAGTCCTGCTGTGACCCTTTTCCTTTATATATTGGTACTATAACCTGCTTTACACCAGTCATCCGGTACCCGTTTTAATTCCCAACATAAATTAAACAAGGTGTACAGCAGGCCTGCCACCACTCCCTCTCCAGCCCTTAGCATCTCGAGTGATACTCTATCATATCCAGCTGCCTTACCTGCTGCTTTCATGCTTTTCATTGCTTTTATTATTTCATCTACACTTATCTCCATACCCCTTTCCACTTCTTTCGGAATTTCTAGTTCATTTAATTCAGACGACTCTTCACTCATAAACACGCTTTCAAAGTATTCTTTCCATCTGTTTAAATTCGAATCTTCATCATTCAGAATATATTAAAGCAGAAAATATAGTATAAAGTGTCTTATTTATTATATTACACATTTCCAAACGGATAAACAGTTATTGCTTTTTTTTTGTGCAGTTTAGGGCATGGCAAAATTAAAACTGCGGGAAAATTTGAGTATTTACCAAAACATTTATTTTAATTGCGACATTCAAAAATGTCGTTTGTTAACCTGATACGAAAGTGCAATAAAATTTTGTTGTTTTATAAAGTTATATAAGAATTTAAATAACATACCATGCACAAATGAACGTAAACTGCAGACGGCGAAGCAAATATTGATAATTATTGTAAAAAAAACGCTACGAGAGAAAGGAAATTTGACTTGCAAATGAATCTAGCACCGTCTGAGAAGTTTGATCAAATTATAATCGCTTTAAGCATAATATCCATATATATTTATGATTAGGATTACATTAAACCAAAAAACCAAAATAAAAGTACCTAATTGTAAAATTAGGTTCTTAAAAGTACTAATGACAAGGCCTGTAGTACGAGTACCGTTAATTTCAAATGCCAGTCCACTAACTAAATCTGTCGTTGAACAAAAAATTAATGAATTACGAACGATATAACATAGGATTTAGATGATCACAATCAACCTTTAACGTTAAATTACCTCTAACGACTTTTAAGTAAGTATTACTTGTATCCTTTTTTTAAATATTTACTCTCCTACTAAGGTTTTTCCATTGTTAAGTGTAGGTGTTTATAATTTATTATTAATTTCTATTTGAACTATTTGGAGAAGAGTTTTTAATTAATAAATTATTAGCGTATTAAATGACAATATCGCGTAGTTCAACCTTAACCCAAATCAAACACAAAAAATTAAGAAATTGCCGAAATGGTGTGTGCTATGCACACAATATAATTCATTCTCATTACAATTTTATGCAGGCCTGCTTTATGTAGAGATTTTCACATAATTTAGATTTTATAACTCTGCAAACTTTGATTTTTTGTAAATGGCTTGTTACAGTTTCGTTAATAATGCCTGTATGATGATAATGGGTGCGTTTGGCAGAAAAAAGCGCTAGCAAGCGCTTGTAAGAAAAATGGCGATCGTAAGCGGTAAGCGCTGTCAAATCGTAAGTAGCTATTTTCCTCCAGGACACGATGTTAGTTTTAAACGGGGAACCTAACCTAATTTAAATATATCTTTGTAAGGTATTCATATTAAATACTTATCAATCATGAATTTTTAATAACATGTATATGTTTATTCATGTCATTATATTACTTAAAACTAATATTTCACAAAACAACTTATAAACTATACTTCAAAACAAACAAATTAAATAAGCAAAATGGCGGATTGTGTCAGCGCTACTGAAGTAGCAATCGTGTCCTGGCCGAAAACTATTTCAGCGCTTATAAGCGCTTGCTAGCGCTTTTTTCTGCCAAACGCACCCAATATTTCTAAATGTCAATTTTAACTATATGTCAGTAGTAAGGGCACTTGCAAGTGGAGATTTAATTATGTCAGAAAGTTGCACTATATTCTTAGAGATTTTAATTTATATTTTTCTTTACGTACATAATATTTAAAAAAACGTATATTATAGTCGAACGTACGATAAAGGAATATTAAGTTGTTAGTTAAAGTTATAGCTTATATACGTCCCACTGCTGAGCACAGGCCTCCTCTCATTTCTGAGAGGGTTTTGGGGCAGGGAAGTGTCCGCCGCGCTGCCCCAAAGCGTGTTGGCGAACTTCACATGTCTCCGAAATATTTTTTTATTTCTCAGACATGCAGGTTTCCTCACGACGTTTTCCTTCACCGCCGAGCACGTGGTAAATCAGCACTTAAAATTGCAATTAACAATTTCATAGGTACCGGCAAGGATCGAACCCGGGTTATTCGCGTACTGTGAAAATTACAGCAAGCACTAACCATCTGAGCTACCACGGCTCTAAACGAATATTAGTCTTCTTTAAATGATCGCGAGGCCCCTATTTATAGATACCTAACTCATATCACTTGCTTTTGCAAAATGAATATTGTTCAATCCGTTCAATCGGGATTGAACAATATTCATTTTGCAAAAGCAAGTGATATGAGTTTCAATCGGGCTGGAGATCCCCACAGTAATCCATCCTGCTACTCTGAAAGTAAGCGAAGTGGACTAACTGAGCTGTTGCTTTATCAGTCAGCTCTGTACTAATTGCAGAACTTAATTTCGAAGCTAGTTAATTAATATGAGCTTCCTACTGGAGAAATAAGCTCGAGCTTTTAAAACAAAAATGGATATTTTGTTAATTCTTAAAGCATTGTGCAACGACTCGGACATTATAAAATGTAAGCAATTTGTAAACAGGCATACAGGCAGAGACATGGACATTACAAGACATGGGCAAAAATGTCATCAGATATGGTATAAATATAACTAACAAAACACAATTTTGGATCTTTAAATTCAAATATCATGTATATTTAGTCAGTATTTATAGTAGTATTTGAGTCAGTTACTACGAGTATTAAAGCGGACGAGTGTATTAGCAAGTCCGCGTATACAGCACGCGGACTTGCTAAAACAACTCGTTCATGTATATGTAAAAATAGTCCTTAATTAGAATGCATGATTTTAAAGACATCATAAATACTGAAAATGTGTTTATCTTATAATAGTAAAACAAAAATATAAAATAATAAACGCGATCGTGACCAATAGTGCATAAATTGAATTTGAAGAGCAATTGTATAACTTCGGAAACAGGAAACACCATTTTGTTTATTTAAGTGTTAAGATTTTACTTTTTAATGTCACTAGGTTAAATGCTGAATCATTTTTGTTACTGGTATATTATACTTGTGAAAATCAAATGCGCGAAACTAGACATTGATAACTAAAACTCACAGACTATATTCGTAAGATTTAATGATGTTACCACATAAAGTAATTCTGTGGTGCTTTCAAGACTCACAATGATTTAACATGTTAACAATTCGTTAATGATGGTATCTCTTTCTTTGGGAATTCTCATAGACGTAATAAAAATTTTAGCAAAGTAGAATTTTGGTGTATGTATTATGAATGTATGATAAACGTAAATGTGTAGATCATTTTTAATTATAACATTGTAGTGTACAAGTTAATGAAGAGTCAATGTATGTAGAGCACATTATTTCTTAGATAATTGTAATTGTACAAGTATAGAATATATCGATATCACCCAAAAATTATATTATTATAGGAGGCTAGGATAAGCAACAAACGAGCACCCAGTCCGCAAGATGGTAAGATGTAGATGTCCATATGAGCCACAGTTTCTGACTTGAATCTGGATGAAAATACCTTGTACCAGGACTAAGACGGAATGCCTTATTTTCAGTTAAAAAAGACTCCGGTTCACACTCAGCATACGAAACACAGCAGTATAAAGCTGCTATTTTACCTTTTACACATATCGAACGCGAAGCGACTCAAATCAACTTCCATCCACTTACATTGAACTTATATAATAAAAAAGTACATCAGTAGCAAAAGGAGATTTTAATTAATACATCTGACGTAGTTATAAGATTATTTATTTCGATTTATTGATGATATTATTAAAAAAAAGTTAATTGAAAATAATTTCACTTGAACGTCAGTTGGTCGGTATGAATGTGAACAAGATATCTTTCAAAAACCGAACTTATCACTTTATTTTATTAGCTTTAGATTTTATCCTTAAGAATACTTTTAAATTTTACTATTGTAAATTGACAATTTTTTTGGTAACAAAATACGAATCACCGCCGGTAGCATGCAGTAAGAAATATTGCGTGTTAATTTAACAGAAACAATTTTTTGTAGCGTTAAACGAAATACGTGTTTCGATAATTAATAAAAGTAAATTAATTATTCAACACATTACATGACCGTTAGGGTTGTGCCGTTTAAATTATTTGGTTACAAGGACGTTGTAAATTAGTGCAGTGTTATATGTAGTTGAGACCTCCGTTTAAGTATTTAAAATATTTGTCTCAGAAGGCCACACTCCTCCATAGAAATCTTTAGGATATTTCTGAGAACTTAAAGATATTCCGAAGACATTGGAAGTACGCCATTTGACAATGTATATTGCAGAGGATTATTTTTCGTTTTAAAACTCTTTCAGGCTTGTTTAACTTAAGACGCGACTATAGGAAATTCTCGAAAAATGTTATAGCTTCCGATTGGTGGGTTATTACTGACACCTGCCATATTCCATTTCTAAGAGAGTTCTGATATGATAAACCTCCGCATTTACGCTTATTATTTTATACTTAGACCAGTGTCGAACAGCAGCCTCAAAGTGCAAGACATCTGGCACTGTGATCGTAAGTTCGCCTGCCAAGTGTGATGATTGAGAGACAAATTCTGCCTACAACATTTTACGTTTTACGTGGTAGAGCCACGCTGCAGTTATATTATAGTTGTAGCACGAATGGGTCGACTCGATCGGGGAAGGATCTCGCTGTTAGACATTAACAAAGTGAAATTACAGCTTCATGCTGCTTCGTATGGTGAGAATAGAGAACCGGAGACCTTTTTCACTGGAAACGAGGCATTCGATCTTAGTGCTCAGGGGTGATAGATGATAGATATCTATGGGCGACGGTATCCACGGGCCGTCAGGCGAACTGTTTGTGCTTGTTATTCATCCTTATTCTATAAAAAGAACGACGTTAGAGGCTGACAAAAGAAAACGCATTTTCATTCTATTTACACAAACTTATCTATTATGACAGTTTTGCTACTTAACATTCATAAAATCGTACAATATCATGACAGGTAACGTATATACCTAAACACTTCTATGAATACTACTAGAATTCAAAAAAGGAGGAGGTACTAAATTCGACTGTATTTTTTATATTTGATGATTATTTTTTTATTTTAAAGCTGGTGCTTCTCATGTGGTCACATATAAATATTAAGATTAGACCAGTAGTTTTTGAGTTACCTATTTATATAAAACACAAAAAATGTTTCTAAGTCCGTTATATACTTCGAAACTATCCAATCAATGTGCCCCAAACCGATTACATTAGAAAGGCAATACTGCGAAGATGGTTTTAGACCACTACAACAATGCATTAGGCACTATTATAAAAATAATAGTTAACAATTTTTTTGTATTTTTTAGCTAGTCCTTAATAATGCGTATTTAATTAACTTCGAATACAATACTTGAAATACAATGATGATGTTCTCATTTTATTTATATTGAAGTCGGTTGTACAAAATTTTTAATTTTACCACTTCTTCACGACAGTTACTGTTTTTCGGCAAATAAGTAAAATCACGTTGACATAAACAATGCCAGCGTCCTATTAGTCATATTATACAAAATCAGTGTTAGATTGTCGAAAACAACGTTCGCGGTTTACAAAACAAAGAACTAGTAGAACTCACTATCAACTTAAGTAGTTGCGGAGAAATGAGCGTAACTTGATGCCGCAGAGCCCATCTAGTAGTACGCATAAAAATCTTTTTTCTTCACTTCACACTACAATTTAATTGGGCACGTACCTGTGAGTACTGCAAGACGAACTCGGAGATGAGAGCGTGTGCGTGGTGCGCGAGCGGGCAGTGCAGCGTGAGCGGCGCCTCGCGCGCGGGTGTGAGCTGCAGCGTAGCCGGTGCCGGCGCGGAGGCACGCAGCCCGCTTAGGGACAGAGTGCGCTTCACCGACAGCCCCGCAGGACCTACGAGTGAGGCGCACCGTCAGCAATTCTGAGTCGCACGATAGTTTTTTCTTTCTTTTGAACTCGTACGGTTGTATTATTGCCAGTGTCTTATATTAAGAAATTATCCTTTATATTAATTTGTTTAAAATCATTTGATGATACATCACATTGCGCACTTTATGAGAGATTCTGACGAAAGCTTTAGCCAGTCAATGACGATTGTATCTTAAGACACCTAAGTAGACAAACAATAGGTAACACAAGGGCATCAATCCACCGGCGGTCAAGTTCCCAAAACTCTCTCGGAATAGTCATTTATTAAAACAAAGATACGAAACGTAGAGCACATAAACATTACGGCGGTAACTCGCATCTTGCGGGCCACCGCGGTTCTCCTTGCAGCAACTGCAAATTAAACTCATAGTGCAAGTAGCAACCGTGCGGCGGCTATCCGGCCTACGGGCCGCATATCTTCGACCGGCTGGAATCCTTTTTGGTCAGCCGCATCGCAATGCGAATAGTAATGTGTTTTATATGGTTTATTTGTTTAGAACTGAAATGAGGATAACCGTTTGATGCGTATGTCTCCTTTGTTGCAAAAAGTGGCCCACGAAAACTACATCTAACTAATGCATGAAAAAATAAATAAATAAAGAGAAGAAAAAAACATACAAAATAAATTTTGCACTACTTTTTATTTAGTGTGGTTTCAACAGGAGGGTGGCTACATCAAAATGCTCTTTATAGGACTGCAGAAATATTTAGCCTAACACACATTAAAAATGGAAGAAAAATCACACATACGGATAGTGATTAATAATATTGCTTATATCTTAAAATCTTATTGGTTTTAGCATCATAAATTAAAAAAAGAGTAACGAGAAGGTTGTTATAAAAACATTTTATTATGTTTTGGTTGAAGTAAAATTTTTTGATCGTTTTATTCTGTTCATTTCTCGTTAATTCATAAAAAACAATTATATCGCATCGCAGGTAGCTGAGTAGTGATATAAATTGCTGCTTGACGTGATATTTGGTCGTAGTAACATTATTTAATCTCTGATTTGGTTACAATACTCTTGTCAATAAATGTATGGGATTATGTATCTATATCCTGATGTACCCTTCCAATGTAGAATATTAAAGAATTAATAAGAATAAAATATTAATGTTCAGTTGCGAATTGTGTACGTTAGTAATAATAATAAAGGCTGTTGAATAAATAGCAAGTGTCATTTGACAATGACATATTATATGTCAATCGTACGAGTTCAGAAGTAAAAAGGACTAAAGCACCACCTTTAACACCGACGACGACGGCCGCGTGCGAGACGGCGAGCACGGCACTCTCGGCGGGCGGCAGGCGCGCGGCGAACAGGCGCGCGAAGTAGAACGGCCACCCGCGCGCCAGCTCCACGCACGCCAGCTTGGCGTGCGCGCGCACCGGGCCGGCCTGCGCGCGTAGCCATGCGCGCCCTGCGCGCCGCTCGCTCGCGCCCACCCGCAGCGACGCGCTGCTGGATGTCACGTCGTGCACGATCTACACAACCACCCCCAGTGTTACACCCACTGTTCTATCTATCATGTTCTACTACACCGGCAATTGGGAACAAAAACTCTGTCACAACTACAGAAGTAATATCTACGTAACAGTGGGAAGTACAGAGGTACAGAGAAGAGGCACAGAATACATTTTTATAACACAAGCTATATAAGTTTAAGTCTGTAAACTCTGACAAGTGTTTAAAGCAACCAAGTTTCGACGTCTTCCTACTAAAAGAGATTGTACTCTTTTACGTAATGAAGGAGAATAGATAATGCGTACTAAAAGAGTATATATACTACACACTAAAATGGTTATGGTACTAAAACAGTTACTCTTAATACTTATCTGTAATAAACTTCAAAACACGTTTACAAAGGGTACACGTAAATATTGACAGCGTTTTCTTAATTAACACTTAATTAATGGTCACGTTTTACAAAACAAAAAAATAGTTTTCTCGCCTGCTTGGTGTCGACTAAAGGAATTACAGATAATTGACCGTAACTTAGTGCACGTATTAAGGCCGCCAAGCCCGTCTAGTAATAGTACAAGTCGCGGCACGTTAGTCTAGCGCTGAAGGAAACGTGGAGGGGAGTAGCTGCGCATGTCGTATCACTACGCCAATAGCCGAAGCCGTATGTAAATAGCAGTAGCCAATCAGCGATACGCATGCCCGCTCCGTGACCCGATTACCACCCCACGATACCTTATTTTTGACTTATGCGCAATAACGGTTACCGCTAGATTTCGTGCCACTACGTATACATGGAAGTATTTGACCAAAGCGTATAAATAATGGAATTAACAATATTTAATGGTAATTGAAGCAACAGTAGCCTAATAACAAGATACAGATCGCAAATTCAAAATTCGTGGCGAACCACTCCTAACTCAAGCATTTTAAGTTTACCAGAAGTGGTTAAAGATAATATTAGTAACGTTAATGGCATTGATAGTATTTCAACATAGTGCCCACCCGCATCCATCGACTTCTTGCATCTTTTACTGCCCTACGCTTCACTTACCAGTATGAGGCTACCACTCTTAGAAATTTTCTTCCTACCACCATAGCCAGGAACAGCAAGAGTTGCCAGGAATTGGAAACCATTTCTTTATGTCGTTGCTCATAAGGACAGACGATTGCCATAGATGCCATCCTTAGCAGTCGGGTTAACATTATAGTTACAGCCATGGAGGTTAGAGAACAGGAGAACGGCCGCCGTAGAAAATAGTGTCCCAGAAATAAGTTAACCATAAGTGAGGCGCTGCGATCGCTTAGTTCGCTCAATAAAAGTCATTTTCAGTCTTTTCTTCCAATCAGATGCTAAACCACTTGCACATCCACGCACAACTAAATTTTCTTCATTTTTAAATGTTTCTTTTTGTCAAAAATTAAAAAATGCCGCGAAGAAATTTTGTACATTATTCAACTAACTTCATCTACTTGTACTCGTAAACAGCTAACTTCGCAGCTACTACTCACCGACGGCAGCGCCGTTATTAATTCTACAAATTTTTAAGGTGACAGGCGGGTTATGCTTTAGTACGTAGCGATCGTTCTCCCGTTCTCTAACCTCCACGGCTACAGCAGTGACATGACAGTCGTGTGTAGGCGACATCTCTTGGACATCGCATTAAAGAAGTTATTATGGCACTTTATTGAAGTGGTATAACCATATTGTATATACCTAATCCAAAATAAACAGTACGACAACGGATAGCAGCGTGTATAATACAAGAATAAAATAATATATTAAAAACATGTATGTTATATATTTTTAAATATAGCGTATTTTATTACTTGCGCATAAAGTAAGTCCAAAATGGCGGGATCGTTGTATGTCTCCAGAGGCGTGAACACTTCTTTGCGCACGCGCAGTTTCCAAGGCACTCGGGTATAGGTTAAGAACATGCGATCCGAAGGCAGTAAAGCCGCCGGTGCTGGAACGTCACCTAGGTTGACACAATATATTAATAAAATATAACGCAAAAATTTCACAAATTACTAAATCTGTAGTTTTAATGGGAAGTAATGAAGAAAAACAGTTACGTAAATAATATAAGAAGTCTAAAGTATTAGTTACGTACTCATACTAAGATATTTTTGCATATTTTAAAATTTTATTTATTAAAAAGTACTCACGTTCGATATGTTCCGTTCTATCTGTAATGTGAGTGGAAACAGAATGTCTTCTTTCTGCCTCGAGTTTTCTATCCCTTTCTTTCTGTGCCATGTGAGTCCTAAACGTCGGCCGCTCTGGTCGTTTCATGTCATTATTTTCCGGTGGGAAAACCACATCTGAACGGGGACTTTCCCTCGCCCGACCAACCAACATGTCTCTGGAATTTTTGCGTCCATCGAAACGCTCAAACTCATCAAAGTATGAAGATGATCGTTTGCGTTCGTAGTTAGCAGCCATGTCGTTTTCTTCTTTCCTCCTTTCAGCCCTTGTTGGGTGAATCTCATATATTTCAGACGCTTCACGACCCGAATAATTGTCACGAATATCCCGACGATCAGGTACATCTAAACCAGATTCTGAATCCCATTCGTCACGGCCATGCTGTTGTCTTTCTTCACTATAACCGCGGATATCGGATTCATCACCCCAGTCATTCATCCGTCTCTCTCTTCGGTCGGCTGTCAAGAAACGAGATGCCAAGTCATCACCGTTACCTGACTCAGACTCTTCTTTTCTACGTGAGCTCCAATTAGCTAAGAATGCGTTTCGGTCATCAGCTTCTCTGTTTTGATGCACACCAAAAGTGTCCCTATCGCGACGTAATTGCGCGAAAGATGTATCGGGAGCTGGAGGGGGCGGAGCAGGTCTATCTGGCGGAGTGGGGGGGAGATTTCGGAGGCAGGGGAGCCGGACCTGGCGGTGCGGGGGGCACTGGTGGCGGTGGAGCATCCCACCTCCCTCCGCCTAATTGACGTTCCAGCATCAACTTTCTGGTATCCTCCAGCTTATTGATAGCACGTGGTGTTTCGGCAGCAGAAGACGAGCTTCGTACTGAATGATTAGCGGTGACACGCTCAAGTCTTTGTCTCATTTCAGAGCTGAGTTTCAACTTCCCTACGCTGCCGGGCGAAGGTCTTTGTGCGCCTATCTCGAAGCTTCGTCTCGTAGTCCGTTGTGATGGCGGTTCCATACTTGGTGTAATATTTTGTCCATCGACTTCAAACTCTTCCCAATCTATACTTGGCGAGGCTTCAGAGCGAGATCTCCCACGCGGTGGTTCATGTTCTACGCCGTTAGTCTGTGCTTGCGGCGTGTGTTTCCTCTGAATCTGACGCAATTTGAATTTAGTAAAATCTTGGGATGTCTCTTGATTCGCCGCATCCTTCGGAGGCGGCCATCTCCATTTCCCTATTCGTACGGTTTTCGCACGACCGTATGGGTCTAAAAATGGTCTTACTTCCGAAGGATCGACGTCGTGTAGTAGTGGGGGCATCGGCGGCGGGGGAGGGGGAGGCGCGCCAGTAGACGAGCTCTCGTTTGATTCCCGTCTCGATTTTACCGCATTTCTTGGAGGCGAGTGTACTTCAGCGTGAATAACGGTCGATGACCGAATTGATGATGTGGGAACCGAATCAGATGTTTCAGCGACTTGGCCAGCAAGGAGCGTTTGTAAAGCTTGATTTTGAGCCAACAATTGCTGCTGTATTTGTAAGTTTTGTGCCATTGCGTTCTGTAAAAAAGCTCGTTGCAAGTTTTGATGATACGCATTTATATCGACTGTGCCAGGAGGTGGTAAATGAAGACCTAACGCAGCAGCTAGTGCTTCGGGAGTCGCTGGCATAGCCGGCATCGATGGCGGCAGTGATAAAGCTCCAAAACTTAGAGCCGACGTCGAAGCTGATGCACCTCTAGGCGTAGATCCGCCACCCTTTATGGCACCTGATAGACCTTCACCATCGGTTAGTCTCTTCAGACTATCATTCATGAATATTGGATCAAACAGATTTGTGATATAATCGTCTACAGAACCGACACTAGATTCCTTTCTACTAGTTTTTCCTTTCTCCTCTTTCCCACCGCCTTTGATTAAGCGGCCAACATGTGTCGCATTGTTAAGAGTAGATATTTGTTCGTTGTAGTCACAATTCAGGATGTTGTCGATAAATTCATTATATTTCTTCCCGCCTTTAATGCTAGCGGCTAAAGAACGGGCATCAGACATTTCGTCAATGTTTGGATCGAGGACCGGCGAGAACAAGTCATCCAGGAACTGGTCAACGTCGGAAGCTTGACTTGGAACGCGGACTCGACGCACATGCGAAGCCAAGCTCGGAGCTTCGGAAGTGTCCGACATGGCTGATGATCTGTAGACAAATAAGTTAGTAGCAGAACAAATAAAACAAACAACCTATTTATAAATTCAAACAGTAGTAGTTATTTAATTGAAAGAGAAATTTGAAACACTTCCCTTTCATTCGTTTATTTATTTATTTGAACAGTTTTGCACGTTAAACGCATTGTCATTTGTTAATCAACCTTAAAAGTACCAACCTTAATTAAATAATAAATATCTGTGGATAAGTATAAGTGTTTCATATATAAGTAATTCCAGCAAAGGACGACAAACAAGATATATAGAGCTACGCTGCAGCTATATTATGGTTGTAACACGAAGGGGTCGGCTCGACCGGGAAGGACCACGCTCTCAAAGAATAACAGCGTAAAATAGCAGCTTGATGCTGCTGTGTTCCGTATGGTGAGTGTAGAGAACAAGAGACTCGTTTTACTGGAATCGAGACATTCCATTTTAGTCCTCAGGGGTGACAACGCATCTGGATTTTGATTCTTATTCGAGGTTAAATGCAGATGTCTATGGGCTACAGCATCCACTTACCATCAGGTGGACTGTGTGCTCGATTGTCACCCTAATTCTATTAGAAAAAAAAAGCAAGAAAAACAGGAGAATATTTTTATTAATTTCCTTTAAAGGAATAAGAAACAAAGTAACTATTTGAATTTAAAGTTTTAATCAAGCCTTGTAGCTTACCTAACGCCTCCAAATTCCGAGCTCTTCTCAATGTATGCACGACTAGACTGCGATCCAGCCGGCGCCCGCTTGCCAGTATACTGTGACTTTATATATCGCGAAGGCATTGCTCTTGAGCCTGTTCCGTACTCCATCTCCACTGCTCCCTTGCTACTGGCTACACTCGGTGCTCCACCTAATCTCTCTACTGAGTGATAGCGATCGTTTAGTCGCGATTGTGATAGTCCTAAATCAGTTAACTTAGACGGCTGCGGTACCGGATTTTCACCTAGAAGATTGTCCAATGAACGACTGCGAACTTTGTCTGATTGTTGTTCAAAATATCGCTCGTTTAGAGCAGACTCGCGCGATAGAATATCGTGGGATATCTTTCTCGAATAATCGTTGTTATGTTTATTAATGGTTTGGGTAACTTCTTGCTCCATCTTCCAGTTGTATTCAGAAATTCCTTCTTCTATTGAGTCGTCTAGCATGCGCTGGATGCTGGGAGAACGTGACTTTGGAGGTTCCGGCGGTGGCACCTGTTAAATTTAAAACAATTATTGAGATATTGAAGTGCAACTTCTTTAGGCGCGATAAGGTTAATTGCCCTCAATCATAATATTATGATTTGATTGACCTCCCTTTTAATAGGGAGTTGAAAGAAAAAGTCAGAGAATACTTTCAGTACCCTCTTTCGAGCATGCACCACGTATACTGAGTTCATACGTAGCATAGGGAACCAGACGACACTTGCCAATTCTACTGTATATATAAAAGTAACGGTAGAAGAAAGGCACCCCCGTACATGCCGTCATCATCATTCATCATCATTTCAGGCCTTCACAAATCCACTGCTGAACATAGGTCTCCCCCAAGGAATACCACAAAACACGGTCCTGAGTCACCTGTATCCATCGATTTCCTCCATGTCTTACCAGATTGTCACATCTAGTGGGGGGTCACCCTACACTACGCCTACCGGTACGAGGCTGCCACTAAAGAACCTTTTTTCCCATCGGTTGTCGGTTTTTCGAGCTATATAGCCGGCCCATTGCCACTTCAGCTTACTAATCCGTTGGGCTATGTCGGTCACTCCGGTTCTACTGCGGATATCCTCATTTCTAAGTTTATCATGCAAAGAAACCCCGAGCCCTCTCCATAGCTCGCTGAGCGACCTTGAGAGTCCTCATGCATGCAGTAGGTGAATAATATTAAAAACTCGACGATGTGTGCAATCTGAATTGCACTTTATTATATCGACTTAAGGGTCGCTATTTATTTAAATGTATTTGCACAGTGATGCTTCTGTGCCTTGTACTGTTATGTGGCAGTAGACATGTGATATACGATTGTTTTGCGCAAATTGTTAATGTAACAGTACCTTTTTCTACATACGATTATAATTCCTAATAAAATATCTCAATTATTACTTTGCCCAATCTAAGCGAATATCATGAGGCAGAAACTTTTATAAGTAAAGAAAGAAAGAAAGAAAGACCTTTATTCACTGAAACTGCACACATCACAAAAATAAAATAATAAACAGTTAAAAGTTCGTAGATTAATATAATGAGTGATGGGGTGTGGATCGAGCCAGTGAAAAGGTTATGACTCAGCGTAATGCTGCAGGGTAACCTACAGCGCTGATGATTCTGTCACAACCCCAGATACACGCACGATCCGCCTGGGTGTATTTTATGAAATACATTTCCGTAATTACCTGTATAAATTTAAATTAAACGTTGCTCATAAATATACCTATATATACTTAGTCCTATATAATAAGTGGGATAGTCATGAAAATTATTTGAAGAGAACTTGTAATCTCTATTGAATAAAAGTATTGTTTTATATTCTTACTAGCTTGCCAGGCAGACGTTGTTCTGCCCTTTTCAACTACAATTTGTCATGCCGTATTAAAAATCCTTGTTTTCGCAAAAAATTAAATTGTGGGTCACTCATGGGCAAAAAAACTATCCTATCTCTCAAGTTGTACCAAACTGCATATGGTGTGCAAATTTTATTAATATCAGTTAAGTAGTTTAGGATTTAGGAGTCCATCGCGGACAAACAACGCGACACGTAATTTATATATATTAAGTTGATCGACATTCGAATCTTCTGCTGTAGATGACCAGATCTAGCTAGTTATGACAGAAGAGTGATAAGTAATGGCTGAGGTGAAGTTTTTTGTTACACAATGTCATTATAATTAAGAAGCTCCGTTTTAAATAAAAAATTATCGGTTTCTAGAGTGTTACGCACTCATGCTTCAGTGGTTTGATTCTTTAATTTTTTACACATTTTTTAACTCTTTTTTTAATTTTTCTACTTTTAGAAATATCTATAGTTTGGTTTATTTATTTTTAATCTAATTAATATACAATTAAACTAGTATAACAGCAAGAAACATTAAACCTTAAAATTTCCTATAAATTAAATTAATAAATTCCACGCCATGAAATCTGTAAAATATTTCACCTCATCTTATGAACGACACTAAGTGTTAGAAAAAGTTGTGGATATACTCTCATTCTCGAACGATCTGGTAACTAGAAATGAACGATTGACGCATGTCTAGGTGACATTACCTGCGGGCGCGCGGCTCTTTCGGTGTCGACGGAGGAAGCTCTGGGCGGCGGCGCGGGCGGCGCCAGGCGCGAAGTTGACGCACGTAGCGGCTCATTGCGCCCGCTGATCAGAGCGGAAAACGTCTCCACTTCGCCCACGGCGTCCAATGCGTACTCGCAGCCCGCCCATTCTACAAAAAATATAACTCACTATATGATGAGATATACCTATATACCAGTGTGAGATATTCCATACCCCTGTTTTATCCTGTGGGTCGAAAGTAGTGACTTTGAGAAGTACGAAAAAGATTTTTATATCTGGTTTCAGTTATACTGCAATTATGGTTTTTACATTCTTTTATTTTCTTCTTTTAGAAAGAAAGAAAGAAAGAAAGAAAGAAAATAACTTTATTCGTTGCTATGCTAATACAAACACATAAAAAAAAAAAAAACAGACAATTAACTCAACACAAAAAATAAACAATTAATAGTAAAAAGTATTTATAAAAAAGTATTTAAATTTATGTTGGATTGCAGCAACGAAAAGGACCCGACTCAGCATTATGCTACAGCAAAGAGCCGCAGCGCTGTTATTCTGTCGGGACCACTAATCTAAAACATACGAGCAGCTGTCAGACAGATTTAATGCAAAAAAAAAAAAAACTAAAGATATTTTAAATGTATATGTTTATGTAATATAATATAAAGATAATATTCTGAAAAACGATAAATAATGAAAAATAAATAGATAAATATATTACTTTTAACTATGTTGGCAATAGTATATAATAGAATAATGAAAGGAATAATAATAATAAATTAAAAATATTTATACTATGTTATAGAGCTAATTCCTGGACAATGGTGTACATCATTGACCAATATGCGATTTTGTGTATTAAGTGTCTGCGCATGTGAACTATTAGTGGAAGCTGTGAAACAAGTGCTCTGATGGAGATGGATTCTCAAGATAAGCTGTTTGCATAGGCATCTTTGGATACCATCGCCAATTGTCTGCTGCCTGCTGGCTCAAGTTGCCATCAGAATCTCCCAAGGGCTGCACCGGGCAGCATGCATAGGGCGAAAGAGTCGGCTTGATCAGGGAAGGATCACGTTCTTACAAAATGCCATCATAAAATAGCAGTTTAATATCATTGTTTTATATGGTGAGGTGAGTGAGTGAGAATGCCACTACATTCCATTACATCCACAAATGCCTATGGGCATTTACCATCATGATCATGATTGGTCTCATGATCAGTCATATGTCATAATGAGTCGCGTCATCAGTATGGGCCCTTTTTCCGTTTAGCAACTATATTCTATAAAAAAATCATATGACGCCCAATAGATGGCGGTTTAAAACCTCGTCTACGCCAAGCGTTTTACCTAGATCGGCGATATGCAACAGTTGCGAGACGTCCGTCTGGTACCGCGATCGTCAGACTGTTTGCTAAGTGTAATGATTAAGATTAATACTCTCTATAAAGGGAGAGGAATCCAAGATTAGACTTCCACGTTATTGATAATGGTTAAAATGTAGTTTTTTAACTCAATTCTCTTTACATTTTTGCGTATGATATTACGGTATCAAAGAGATCTGAATCAGCATCAAATGTGACGTTCCTGCCTTTGTTGAATGGTGAATGATATTTCAGTTACCCGTAAGTTGTCCATTGTGTTCCATGGTGAGCGACCAGCCGGTGAGGCCGCGCGGATGCCCGGCTGCTGCCAGCGCAGCGGCAGCGGCGCGCTCGCACGTCGTCCACGAATCCACGCAAACGTGTGTTACCGTATCTGCCAAAACATTTTCAATAAGTCTCTCTTTATTTATTAAATATATTTTCTGTGACACTTACGATTTTTGAAAATTATCCCATTATATTAAATGGGTATACAATTTTTATTTATTTATGTAATGTAATAAATTAAGGATGTGTTCTGACACACACACACACACACACGCGCGCACGCACTCACGCACGCACGCACGCACACACACATATATATACACAATGTTGAACATTTAAAATTTGTAGGAAAGCGAAACATCTTCACCATCGGACAACCTTTTGTTTGTCGCTGTTGCAGTGATGTGTTCCTTACTCATGATTTCAAATCATAGTGACGGTAAATTGAATGATTGAAAGAGTTACCCGTATTTCAACATTGGACCATCTCATTCACTCGTTTACGAATACAAAAATAATTTCGGGTATATCCAATGATTACAAACTTTATTTACGTATATTGATAGAGCTTTTTAGTAACAACTACAGATATTATATAATTAAAATGGACTGTGTTAAATAACATGTTTTGCTTTCAAAAAAAAACGAGTACGAGCGATTCCTCAACTCAATTAAGGGGCATCTTGCGAGTACCTCGCGACATAGAATGAGATACTCGTCTCACCCTCATACAAAATAGGTGAGTTACCCATGACTTCACCGTCGCATCACGTGCACTGACCTGCATATTTTACCACATAAGAGTTGGAGTGACTTTTCCATGCAAATGAGCAAATGACAGATAATTTTGTGTCAATTTGAGACGACATCCGCGAGTGTCCCAAGAACTAATTTTGACATATATTGCAAATGGCTGTCGTGGTAACTTTAACAACAGTTAGGCTTAGCACGCACTGCGATTAAACGCGAGCGGTTTAGGAATACCTGAAAACGCAAAACCGCAAAACCATCACGCACTGCGGCTGGAGTTTTGCTTAATTTTTTTGCTTTACCACCATGGATTTCGAGCAAGTAGCGTGTGTTGTGGCTTTGGCTTTTAAATTAAAAAAAAAGAAAACGTAAACAACGGCGCTGCCATAAATACTGAGTACATCCACTAACAGATCAAAGACATCTGAAAGGATACTTTTGCAAAATGTACAACGAAGTGCGACAACATCTCGATAAGTTTTTTAATTACCACAGAATGTCGATTGGTACTTTTGATAAATTATTACAAGCTGTGGGCCAGTATATACAACACTGCATTTCGTATGACGATATCACCTGAAGAGCAGAATAAAAACCGAACGCGGTTAACCGCTATGCGTGCGCAGCCATACTATTGCTATGGGACACATAAAAATCTCGCGTTTACAAACTGCGATCGAAATGTAGCAAGTTACGTTTTTAAAATCAGTCACTGAAAAAAGTCGCTAATGCGTGCGCTTGTATAGAAAGCTATATTATGTTACATTTTTTTGCGGTTTCAGATGTGCGGTTAAACGCGTGCGTTTAATCGCAGTGCGTGCTAAGCCTAAAGCGTTTCTGCATTTTATTTAAATTTTTGACGTTTTAGTGAGTTTTTAAGCTGATTTGTGTAAGTTCGAGTGTTCAAACATGCAAATGATCAAATGACATGAAGAACATGAGGAAAATTGTATTTTGCTCACTTTGCTACAAGAAAGGTAGCAAAACATTCATAGATTTATTTGCATTGTATTATTTAGTTATAAACAACAAAACTATAATATTGTAATCAGAAATTTATACTGCACTACTATCCTATAAATACATTATTCGGCCGAATTGATATTTGTATGCACTGATATATCAGTGTTTTTATGTTTTGTTTTAGATTTATTAGTTCCATAGACATTCGCATCTGCTTATAGCTCCGAAATATTTAGTTAATCAAATAGATACAAAAATAATTTGACAGCAGTCAGTCCATGGTATACAAGTCAGTGGTTATTTATTTATTAAGATATTTGGCTTGGATGCTTGTTTCTAAAGCGTGTCCTCATTTCATCCGGGATTTTTTTCGATTTTTTTAAATCTTTTTCACAATATGTCAATGCCTCAATTGCGAAGTATGTGGGAGATTTTGACGGCAGCTGGAGCCAACAGATGGTGGTTGGCGACGTTATCGTTGACGTTATCTTGAGGTTCATATCACCATAGGGTGACTTGTTTTAGTGTTTCCAGTAATAGACATATACTGCGATCACATACGCAGACACGTAATACACAAAATTGTATTACTTTTACGTATTAAAACCCATTTCAAACTATTATTTATACAGTAATACAAGAGTAGCAATCTTCCGGCGGCCAAATTCCCGTCAAAACTTCTACAGGTCACGTATGTCTGCTTTCTGCACACTCTGCATCACGCAAAGTCTCCAAGATATCTGTATGATAAGATAGCCGTTGAAAAAAAAGTTTGCTTCCAGTCAGAGAAAATAGTCATCGGCTTCCACTACCCAGGATTAGCCTCGCTGGAGCCAGGGGGTGTTTTAAATTTGACGCTGCTAAAATTTGGAACGATTTGCCACCACCAGTCCGGTCTACCCTATTTCCGTCTACCTTCCGACAAAGATGTCGCAAGTGGTTTATTCAAAAACAGTCCCTGGCTCTATGTGGCTTTGATACCACCTCAAATTAGACAATTTTTTTGTATTTAACAACTATAATTTATTAATTGTTTTATTTATATTTTTATTTTTACTTTTTTATTGTTGATACGTGTGTGTTCATCAATTGCCTAAGACCCTGTACGAATTATGCGCAAAGGCTGTGGCAGAAGATCTGGAGTAACGGGTTTCCCGGTTACAACTGAGTCACAGACCGTTTTGTAACAACTAATTACAGTACCCGGCGATAAATATTGCACACCGACCTTTGGAAAGAGACAATCAGAAAATTTCGGCTTCGTAGAGCGTTTTCTCTGTCGCACACTACCTATTTGACGTTTTGACGTTCGACCTAATAGATATCGGACTGTTTGTATTTCGTGCGACAGAGATAACGCTCCACGAAGCCGAAATTAGCCGATTGTCTCTTTCCAAAGGTCAATATTGTAGCTCTCTATTTAAACATTAACATTGTATTTTTGTATAATACATAAACACTTACGCCTGTCACCCAGAGGGGTAGACAGAGACTACGGACTTCCATTTGGCACGATTCTGACATACCTCTTTCGCCTCCTTTATCTATGCATACATGCTCATCGGTTAAGGGTACTTCTAACGTGGCCCATTTTCAAAATATCGCTAATTTGTTCGATAAACTTTTTTTCTAGGGCGTCACGCAATTTCTCACCCTGTCATTCAGATTTAACCCTAGCATACTAATAAATACTTTTTATTTCATTTATGAGCAATAGTCGTTGAGCATACCGTCATAGAGGGGGAGGTTGAGCGCGGGGCGGGCCGCGTCGCCGGCGCGCCACTCGAGCGCGGTGGGCGGCGTGCGGCGGTGCGCGCCGGCCGCGCGCGCGCCCGCCGCCTCGCCGCCGCACGCCAGCCGCAGCAGCCGCGCGCGCGCGCGCCCGGTCGTCGACTCTGAGATCAGCCGCACCAGGTACCTGCGCACAACCGCACTGTTTGTCACAACTGAAAGCTTCAACACAATGAGTGCGCTTGGCAGAAAAAAGCGCTTGTTAGCAAAATGGCAAACTAAACAGTTTTCGGCCAGGACACGTTTGCTAACTTCAGTAGCGCTGACACAATTCGCCATTTTGCTTATTTAATTTGTTTGTTTTGAAGTAGAGTTTATAAGTTGTTTTGTGCAATATTAGTTTTAAGTAATATAATGACATGAATAAACATATACATGTTATTAAAAATTCATGATTGGTAAGTTTTTAATATGAATACAAACATATATTTAAATTAGGTTAGGTTCCCCGGTTAAAACTAACTTCGTGTCCTAGAGGAAAATAGCTACTTACGATTTGACAGCGCTTACCGCTTACGATCGCCATTTTGCTTACAAGCGCTTGCTAGCGCTTTTTTCTGTCAAACGCACCCAGTCCTTGTCATTTCAAACTCGATCACGCAACGCAAAAGCGACTAACATATAGGACTTTGCTTGCGTGTCTGCGCTATAATATAGTATGCAACTCGTTATATACGCGCTATAATATAGTATCGACTGCCTCGTTGGTCTAGTGATTGTAGTAGTGCGGCTGCTGATCATGAGGTCCTGGGTTCGAATCCCGGGTCGGGGCAAAAAATTAATTATTGAGTTTTTCCGTTAAGAAATTCTCAGTAGTTGCCCGGAGTCAGGAAGTTGGCGGTGTCTCACCCCCGTGCCTCGGAAAGCACGTAAAGCCGTTGGTCCTGCGCCTGATCTCTCTCCGGTCGTGTCGGTTTACCGTCCCATTGGATTATGAGAGTGAGGGAATAGAGAGTGCACCTGTGCTTGCGCATACACTTGGGCACTATAATCTGCTGCGCCGTGGTGCTCTTGAGGCAGCGCCGTGACCGAAATTCGGTCTGGAGGACATTATTATTATTATTATTATAAGTTGGTACTATTATAAGCCCTCCTGATACTCTGCATTTGTCTCATTCTCTCGAAGTTTAATTTTCAAAAGGTTTCACGTCAAATTCATACATATTTTTATAGTGCACATACAGCGCACGCATAGATGTGCACTATATTGAATGTTTTTATTAGACTTAGGTACAATTATTAGATCACGTATGTTTTGCTATGTGACTAAATAACGTGCAAATTTACACAAATAACACAAACAAGCAAAATTTATAATATAACCCAGTACAATAAGACTAAAACAAAGTTACATTTATTAAATAGATTCCTGGTGTCATGAAATTGGTTTTAGTTTCAATAAGCCAACAATTCTTCTTTCAATAAATTATTATTGTGTGATTGATGTCATTTGGTAAATGATTATAAATTCGAATACACATGGTTAAACAGCTTTTACTATATTTTTTAATCGCGGTACATCACCTAATACACGTCTATATGCATTTCTTTTTTGGCTTAAGTTCATATCAAATGCCTTTGCAAAAGAATTTTTAGGTTTATGTACTAAATTAAAAACTTCATACGTAAAGAAAGATGGCAATATTTTGTTTTTGTCATGAATACGTTTTTAAAGTCAGCAATTCAGAAAATTGATGATATCCTACGGATACAGTTTGATATTGCAACTACATATCTATCATCTACATTCAAAATTTGATTACACCACTCGATAGCTCAAGAATCAAAGAATTCATTACGTTGAGTTTGGACTATGAATAATTACGGACGAGGGGAAAGCGCCGTCATTTTACGGTCGTTTTGCTACACGCATTCACGCAAAACACACGGCCGTGTCCGCGACACAGCCACACCCTAATGATTTTTTATTATTTAGTTTGTTTTTAATCATTTTCACGTGGTAGAGCCATGCTGCAGTTATATTAGTAGTATAGTTGTAGCACGAATGGGTCAGCTCGAACGGGGAAGGATCACGCTCTCACAGAATACCAGCGTAAAATAGAAGCTTAATGCTGCTGTGTTTCATATGGTGAGTGTAAGAGAACTGGAGACCCTTTTTTACTGAAAACGAGGCATTCCATCTTAGTCCTCACGGGTGACAACGCATCTGCATTTTGATTTGTAATCGAGGATAGATGTAGATGTCTATGGACCGTAGCAATCACTTACCGTGTCAGGTGGATTGTGTGCTCGTTTGTCACCCTATCCTATAAAAAATACAAAATTAAATAAAAACATTACACGGTTTATTTTTACACATTGGCAAGCATCTCTTTCCGTCCGAATACAATCTGTGTGACTTCCAGGCAAGAGTAAATAGTCTTTTGTTACGCTAAGACTAGGGCTTCATCACCACGTACCACCAGATGGAGTTGTGGTCAAGCACTGCGTTACAATAAGTTAAAAAAAATATTATTTTTCCGATCTGTAAAGGCGTTTTCATTCGTTCATTACATCTTATCCAAAGTCCTCTGCTGTACATAAGACTCCCCCAATAGATTGTCTCGTAGAGCGGAATTTTGACGTAGTCACGCTTGACAGACGCGACGGGATTTTATTATTTTTAAGTATTTCATTCATTGAAATATTTTTTTAACGTGCAACTCGATATTTTCCTTCAGCTTCAGCTTACGCTGAATTAAAATAAACTAAATTTAAGTAAAATTGTATTAAGAAATATGAAAACTAACTTATGCAGGGCAGGTCCAGGTTGGAAAGAGGCCAAGCAGTGAGCAACCAACTTCCACACTCTCTCAGCAGAATCGCCGCTTGCTTGATTGCACAATTGTACAAGGATCTCATCACGCAGACCCCTCGACGCTAGTCCTCGAGATGCTATGTAATCTGCTAAAACCTGAGAATTAAATGTAACAGACTATTTTTTTCAGTCTTTTATTAATACAGAGAAATATAATATGAATAGATAATAATTTAGAAGCTAGATTAAGCTGACCTTAGTCTTGTTAAAAAAAAATTAAAAAGTATGGCATGTTGTGCACAATTTTGGTTTAATTATGGGCCATATTAAAACTTAATGTCGAGTGATACAGTCCTTCTTTAATTTTTAAAAGACTTTCGGAGCAATTAGTTCACCGAGTTGCTCCAGATCGTGTTGGCGTATTTATATTATATACATTATGTTTTCAAAAATATGTTATTCTTCAGATATACAAATTTCTTCTCGATTTATACCGGCGACGATCGAACCTGGAGTGCCCGCCTTCTATGAAATTTAAGGCGAGCGTTTAACCCAGACAATTCCACGATCTAGTAGCCTAATAATTGCATACGCACTGCACACTTAAGAAATGAATTCCAAAAATTTTCAGGTTAAATAATTTCAATTGGAATAATCTAACAAAACTCTGTCTCCTTTAAAATTGATTATAAAATCTGACCTTTTGCCTGGCTTCGTCCCCGGCTGCGGATTCATCGCACCAACGCAAGATTAATTTGAATATTGCTATGGCATCGTTAAAGTCTTGATCTCTGAAAATAAAAATTGGTGTAGGTGTGATGCAGTCTGGTCTCCATATCGATTTTCCATTTGATGACTAAATCTCATATTTTTCTCAAAAATACATTATAGTACGTCAGGGTGATATGGTCATTAGTTTAATAAACACTTTCTTATAACTCAAATACTACAACCTTATTTCCTTAGATGGATTTTTATACCACAGCTCTTCGTCGGTCAATAACAAAGACATTTGAGTAGTAAAGGGTCAAAAGGGCGCTGCTTTATCGACGCCATTTTGAAAGTTGACATTATAGTGCACATATACGGTGTAGTGTTTTAACTACACTTGTTTTTACGTTGATTTTTCACAGTGTTCATAATTATTGCCAAAGCTTGTTAGTTTTCTTTTCCTAATATATAAGTTATGGTATCTTTGGTCTAGTTTTATAGTGCGGCAAAGCTTAAAATGACCATATTACCCGCACGTATCTTATACTGATTTTAATGATTTTAATGTAAGCTTAACTTCGAAATTAGGTATTGATTTTGATGAAAACATAATCAGGTATAAAATTCTATTAAGCTTCGAATAGAATTAACCGTGTGTTGGCGGTATCATATCGCCCCAAGGATGTGGTAAGAGGCGGCAGGGGGAAAATGAAACAGGCAGCGGCATCTTCCTGATAACAACTCAAAATATTAAATACCTGCAGTTGCAAACTGTGGCAACTATGGCAATATCCCGATGAGGTTATCGATCAAGGCTACCTATGTTCAGCAGTGGACTTTTATAACATGTAGTGGATGGATGAAATTAATTAAGGAGACTTCCGGGGACATGCGAAAAGAAAAATGTTCACTAACGTACACAACATATTTCATACGTATCCTTTATAATCGACTCCTTGGATATCAAAACGAGGAAATGTTTTATAATTTAGACTTCACCGGCTCAGTTGCTATATTTTCATATAGAAATGATTATTATATAATCATCACATAGAAACTTAGTTCATTATTATGGAATTTAAAGACAAAAATTTTAAGAGCAAGTTTGTATTACATGGGCGGGTGATTATATATATGGCGGGGTACAAGACTCGTATCCTGCAAAGAATTGTATATATATATTATTAGATTTTAATGCCATCAAAACATAACTTGTAAAAAAAAAAGTCTCGCAAGTCAGTTCTTCTACCGTAAAAAGTTGTGAGATCCATGTAATAAGTGCGTTAATTTATTCAGTTCCTACATAAGGGTCCTTCTGTTCTAAGTTATTACGTTTATTATTATAAATCTTTTATATTTTAAATATTTAGATTGACTTGGCCATCGCATGAAAACACAATGTATCTCACAAGTAATACATATTATATTAAATTAGATTGCTTAGTGCGATTGCCAATCAATCAATCTATATATTTAAAACATGAAAGATTTTTAACATTGATATGGTTACTATAAAATGTTGTTAGGTTAGCTAATTACGTAATAACTTAAAATAGAAGGACCCTTATGTAGGAAATGAATAAATTAACGGACTCGAATGTTCTGTTTTCGGATTCGGACTGCTTACCTGACGGCAGCTTTAGATAAGAATGGCTTAGTAATAGGATGCTTCTTTGGACTGAGCTGGCCGCCGTCTGCGAAGTACACGGAACTGAACTTGGAGAAGGCGAACTGTTGCAAGTCTTTAGGCAACTGCACCCGCTCTTCTTCGGCATAAACGTCCCCGGATACCTGAAATGTTAATTATTACTTTTATATAAAAATAAAATCATTAACTAAAACACTTTCAAAGAAATTACAAGGAAAGTGTTAGGAGTCAAAATATCAAAATCAGGTTAGTAAGTACATTAGAAGAATAGAAATTTACATAGGTGATGAGCCCATTTTACTTCCTTACCGTTCTTGCTTACACAGCAGCAATGCCAGGTGCATTGTATTCCAGTTTGCATATGTTCAGTTTCGTAATGAGTAGAGTTAGCTCGTTTATGACCCTCTTTTTAATTAAAAAAAAAATCTTCGGCCTTACTCATAAAATCGAAATTTTCTCTTTTCACTAAATGACAATAGAAAGCGACTGGTATAGAGATAATAAATACGACGTGATAATCAACGATTATAAGTAAACAGCTTATGTTTCCGAATGAAAAAAAAAACAATAGTATTGGGTGCGTTTGGCAGAAAAAAGCGCTAGCAAGCGCTTGTAAGCAAAATGGCGATCGTAAGCGGTAAGCGCTGTCAAATCGTAAGTAGCTATTTTCCTCCAGGACACGATGTTAGTTTTAACCGGGGAACCTAACCTAATTTAAATATATGTTTGTAAAGTATTCATATTAAAAACTTACCAATCATGAATTTTTAATAACATGCACTAATATTGCACAAAACAACTTATAAACTCTACTTCAAAACAAACAAATTAAATAAGCAAAATGGCGGATTGTGTCAGCGCTACTGAAGTAGCAATCGTGTCCTAGCCGAAAACTATTTCAGCGCTTGAAAGCGCTTGCTAGCGCTTTTTTCTGCCAAACGCACCCATTTACTCGATATGACAGCATCTTTACCTTAGTGATATTCTTTTCGGTATGGGGCGGTTGCCACTCGTCAATTTTGGAAAGTATGAACGCCAGTTCAGCCGGCACTTCTAGCACTTGTAAGCTCTCCGCCTTCGCCTTTTGTTCTGCCGCACGTCTTCTGAAATAAAATGTGATTATGTTGTGGGTTAAATAAGTATTTAATACAATTAAAAGTAAAGTTACAGCCTATATACGTCCCACTATTGGGCACAGGCCTCCTCCAATTTCTGAGAGGGTTTTAGGGCAAGGAATAGTCCGCCACGCTGCCCCAATGCGTTTTGGCGAACTTCACATGTCTTCGAAATATTTTTTTTTCATATTTCTCAGACATGCAGGTTTCCTCGCGATGTTTTTCTTCACCGCCGAGCACGTGGTAAATCAGCACTTAAAATTGCAATTAACAATTTCATTGATGCCGGCGGGGATCGAACCCGGTTTGCTCGCGTATTGTGAAATTTACAGCGAGCGCTAACCATCTGAGCTACCACGGCTCTAATTTACGAGTCTTTAATACAAGTACCATGAATTATGTATTTGATTTTTATTTTGTATTAAGAGCGTTCTGATGCGTTTTACACGCTTTAAATATTGATTAATGTATGTACAGCTCTACATATTGTACCTTACGATCGTCGCTCTAGCTGAATAGGCTTTACACTTAAGCTTTTCTTAATTTTTGCACTGCCAAAGAATTAAGCAAACTGAACTGCCACTATCTTCCATAAATCCAAATTGCATATACTAAGTGGCATGCCGGTAGAGCGATTCATTGCTCTGTGTTGACTACCCCACTATTGCATACTAAAGATGAACAAATATGATTAAATTGTTTCGCAAATTGGCATATATTATGCTTACATGGGACATTTGTTTTATAATATAAGAGTGCCAAACAAGAAAACAAAGAGAAGGTTACAGATGCACATCTCTGAAGACTGAATTAACATGTAATAAATAAGATTTTAGCTTCCAGTATCTGCGCTAATAGAGAAGTTGTATTAATTTTTGCCACAAGTTTATAAATAAACGAAGGAATAATTAATTTAAAGTACATTTAAATAATTTTTTTATTAAAAATTCCATTATTTAGTAATTGTAAATAAAAAGTTAAATTTTTGAATGAAAAAAAACCACTTGTGATTGGTTGAGACGTCATTATATCCGTTGAGGCTGTGAGCCAATCGCAATCATGCTATACTTTTGTATTTTCTGTATTCGAATCACCGTGTGTCATAACTCATAACAAAATATAATTATATAACCTGTACTATGCAATGACAATTTTTTTTAATTTTGACAGTCTAACATGAGTGTTTTATCATTGCACCATGCCGTGACGTCACTAAAGCGATATAATGTACGTCAATGTCGTTTGAATTTACTATTTTATGAAAACCATTTTTAATTGTAAAATTACATGAAAAATCAATTGTTTTCTTTCCTTAATATTTTTAATAAACTTTCAAAAAAAAATTAAAAACATACAACTTCTCTATTTACACTAGCACCAAAAATGTATGGTCTGTAGATAAACGTAAAGTTAATATTAGAAACTTGTTTAGCTCTTGCTCGGCTACGTCTCCTACCTTCGACACTGCGCTTCCCGCTGCGATACCTACTACAAACGCGAGCTGAAGCATCACCAGGCAAACAATGCATTCTAAAACATCGGATGCGTTACAACCCGGATGCACGGGCGATGTGCACTCACCAAAACGAAAATACCATGTAAATGCAAACACTTAAAGTTCAATTTGAATTATGGCAGCTGCTCCTGATGCGCTACAACACGGAGACTCTGGTGATACGCGTTCCTCAAACGAAAATACAATCTAAATGCTAACACCTAAAGTTCAAATTGGCACTTGGCAGCTGCACCCGATGTGCTACAACACGGTAACTCGAGCTATGCGCTCAGTTCAAAGCAAATTACACTCTAAAATCTAACACTAAAAGTTATGTTTGGCACATACTTGGCGGCTGCCTGCTGCGCCTCCTGCCTGCGGCGCTGCGCATCCCGCTGCTCCCGCAACGCTGCGACTCTGCGGCGGGCGCGGCGCGCTCGCACTAACGCCTGCGCGCGCACTACTCCGCGCCGAGCGCGAACGAAGCGGCGCCGCTCCCGGGACCCTCGCCACCATGCCTGTATGCGCACGGCAGACTCACGCATCTGTGTGTAGCGCTTCCTGTGGGTTTGGAACGGAGGGAGTTAATCAATTTATATATGAATATCATCATCATAATATATAAAATTCGGAATCTAGAAAATCACTCCGAATGTGACAACTATTGCTGTAGGTATATTTTTATAATTAGTAATAAAGCAAAATAGTTCCAAAACCTTCTCAAAAGAATAAATAACTTTTTAATCATTGGTTGCCAGTTTTTCATCTTATAAAGCGATTACTGATTTTATTATGCAAACACCCATAACAATAGTCTTTTTTTATAGTTTAGTTAGCTTCATTGAAATTCTTCATTCGGTTGGCACAGAGTTCACACGTCTCATTCCGTAACATTCCGTAACATTCTTCATTAATACGAACATGCATCATATAATGACTATAAACATATTTTGACACGATAACGTCTAATAAATCGATGAACGCCGGCTGCATACATGTAAAAGGATGATTCATTGTCCCGTTACGCTCCAGCCGAGCCGAGCACGATGGGAGCGAGAGCGCGGCACGAACAAGCGAAAGGCACGTTCGGCTTGCGCCGCATAATCAAGTGCGCAATCATTTCATCAATGTTTTGTTATGATTTTGACACGTTAAACTATCGTCCGTAAACCGACTTTACAGATACCATTTTTTCTTCAATCCTGAGGTATGATAAAAGAAGTGTACCAAAACATTATTACACTCTAAAAATGACTGCATGTGAAATTTCAATTGAAAAACACTAATGCAATTCATGTATATACATTAGTCACTGTTATGTATATTTTTTTTTTGCAAAAAAAATATTAGTAATCTTATTAATTCACATTACTAATATTCCCTTTAACAACTCCTGGTAAGCTTGAAACGCTTGTGTTAGGAGTTGTTCACGACAGTAGTCAAATGGCGGATTAGAACCCACGACCTTTTGAGTTCGCGGTCCGCGCCCTGCCATTAGGCTACTGTCGCTTGTATATTTGTTCCGGGAAACTGATTATATAAATTAGTTTCCCGAAAACGATACCAACAATTTCGATGAAATTCTTGTATTTACAAAATGTTGTACTTTTCAAGTATATCAAGTGAGTGACATCCCTGAGAAAAAATTAAGTATTTCTTATCCAACAACAAGTGAAGCTAGTCGCTAAGAAAATATAAAACATAGTCTCACCTAGCGAGGTAGCCCCGCAGATGCGCTTGCAGCGCTGTAGCGGCTGCGCGCAGCTTATCGGCGCGCGCTCGCTCCAGCGCTCTGTGCAGCGCCTCGCGGACGAACACCCGCGCCGCACCCAACTGGAAGTCCGCGCCCACTGAAACCGATCCCATGTTACTACTTAGATATGATATGAAAAAATAGCAGCTACAAAATACGAATAAATAATATTTAAAATTTATTTAATATTTACTTTGATATTGCTGGTCAGCTATATAAACTTCTGTAAGTACTTAAAATAGTGAAAGCAAGGATCGTGAAATCATTTTTTAAATTGGGAAACCTGTAAAAAAAACACCACACGCACGCACAGCTCTTCGAATTATGTAAATGCGTATCTACGTATTTTAAATGTGAGAGCATGTTGTAATTGCCTTAAAGTGATTGCACGCGTACATTTTAAATTAAATCTACCATATATTTTCTGAATCGATACATTGTTACAAAAATAAATAATTTTAACATTAGTCGGATAGCGAATGGCAGCGTTCATTGAAATCACCAAACCAAAACAATGACACTCTATTGCCAGTGCTTTTTAATTTAATTTCTAAGTAAATCTTTGGAAGATCGTTAGCACTTGATATTTGAAAGAAAACAGAACGGAGGGCACGAGGTGAGTACCTACGTGTGCAGATGATCTAGTGGGGAAAAATAGACCCGAGGAAAAGATACAGGAAGAAAGAACAGATAACAGGGTATTATCACCATTTAAAAATAAAAATTACGTCGGGTTAATATCCTACATATGAAGGCGTTTCTATTTTCACGATTGTTTACCAAAAAGTAAAGAAACAGCACATCACTTGGCAGAGGATTGGTGCATTTAGTCTTGGTTTAATACTCAGACTTAGTCTAATTCTTATTTCTAATATATAATCTAGACTTATAGCCCAATGTTATTAATGTCCTCCAGACCGAATTTCGGTCTATTTCTTTTAATTTCTTAAACGTGCAGATCTATGGTTATCTCACAAGGTTTCTCTTCAGTGCTTAGTACATTTTGCTAACTGCACATAATAAAACAAGTTTATTATCTTTTACATATCATTTAATTCTGATAACGTATTGTGTGAAACAGTGTATCATGGAACGAATTACGTTTATTTAATTTATATTAATGGAACGTTACTGCCATGCATTTTTCAAGAAAATAAATAGACACGTAACTACGCTCACTTGTAACACTTTCACAAATGCGTAAGTCTCGTTACTTTCATTCTAGTTAGTGCTATTTATCTGAATCATATATAACTGTTATTTTTATTAATAAACTACCGATCCTGGATTTCGACAACAGCTCCACCTACCGGGTCCAATAGAGTTTTTGAATCACCAGGGACACACTCAAATACACATACAAAAATTCATCAAAATCGTTCGAGCCGTATTATAGCTAAAGGATAGCAATTGATTTGTATATATAAGAGAAAATTTTAGATGGCAACAAAATATTCTTAAAATGTTTATTAAATAAATATAATATTTGTGTAAGCATTTCTTTTATATGACTTACCGAAAATCTTAATTCAAAACACCGTAGGTATGCATTATAATGGGATGAAACAAAATATAAACTACTTACGCAAAACAATATCTTTGTATTTAACGCTGCGTTTTTTTATTTGTTTCCATAGTTTTAAATATTTTCCACTTTGTATTTGAACACTCATGTTCCACGATGGCTTTGAGCACGATTGACATTATAGGAAAGCAACAATGAGGTTGCACTAAACAGGTTTCTTTTATCGAGTAAAAGATGCGATACGTTAATAGGATATATAATTAAAAATATCTACCAAAAGTGCTTATCAGCAAATAATTGTAGTCGATAAAAATAACTAATTTAGGTTTTATTAAAGCTGATTGAATTCGGGGATGTGCAGTGTCTTAAATATTTTCAAAATTGTCTTAACTTGCACATATGTTGACATTACCATATGTTTTAACTATCAACTAATAGTTGTCAAGAGGTACTAGAAAGTACTAAAAAGCGTATTATGTATATGATTTTGTATCAACATAAATGCTTAACCCCTCCAAAAAGACATATAAGTAGGTTCAGATATAAATAATTCGATTAATATTCGTAGAATTGTAATGAAATTAGAGCATACTATGCAATATACATTGGGAGAAAGAGTGGGTAATCAAGATAGATACCTCCAGCTATCTAATTTTAATCTAATATATGTTTTGGAAATTACTTACTTACTTACTTACTTATCTTCACGCATAATCCCTAACGGGGTAGCCAGAGAGAACAGATCGCCAAGTGTCACGATCCTTACATACCTCTTTCGCTTCTTTCAGGTTCATTAACTTCTTCATACATGCACGTCTAGGTATCCGAGTACTCTCGACCTTCCCCTCTTCGAGCAATTTGCTCACATGGTCTTCGAAAGTTAGTCTCGGTCTACCTCGACACCTTTTAATATTTACTTTCGCTCTATATATTTTCTTCACCATTCGGTCTTCACTCATTCGCTCAACGTGCCCAAACCATTGGAGTACGCCCCTATCAATTTTTGTGATAAGGTCATCTTTCAATCCTGCCATATTGCGAATCTCTTCGTTTCGCTTTCGATCGGCTATGGTAACGCCACACATTTTACGAAGAGATCGCATCTCCACTGCATTCAACTTGCTTTTATGCTTCTTCTGGCATACCCAGGTTTCGCTGCCATATAACAAAGTCGGTACCAACACTGAGTTATGTATTGCAAGGCGTGCACTCTTCACCACGCCTTGCCTTTTGACTAATGCATTCAGGGCACCATTGACTTTGTTTCCGGCAGCGACACGCCTATCCACATCTAAATCACATATTCCATCCCGGCTGAAAGCACTCCCCAAGTATACAATTTCATTTACCTGTTCTAGACTGTTTTTGTTTTGGAAATTAGTTTAATGAAACTAATTGAATGTTAATAATAACTAGAATTCAACAAAGCAAAACTTTCCATTCTTTTTCAATGTGTTTTATACGATTATATATTTAGAGTGGTTATTTTAGGGCCAAAAAGTAAAGAAAATAATTATAAGATAAATAAATGAATTAATATAATATAGGTAACTATTTTCTGCATTGTTACATAATTTCAAAAAGTTTTCTACCACATAAATAATATAAAATTATAAAACCCACATTCCTTTCTTTGGCTCTGTCCCGGTACCCCTCAACCCACTCACGGGCAATCGCGAACACAGTACACGTAGGTAAATCACGACGAAGTGGGATTATTTAAATCACAGGCACATACAAATGCAAGTGCCCTATTGCTTCATTATGCATACATACCATATCTTACAAGTAACAATGCGACGCAGTAGGCGCGATCGATATGAATATAATTATGTTAAAACGCTTTCTAATATTATCGTTTTCTAGTTATTGTTTGCGTCGCAATTTTTATTACATCGAAATAATAATAATAATAATTAAAACAAATCAGAATAGAAAACAAAATAGAAAATGTACATTGTATAATATATAAGTACCCGGTTGACCGAGCTTTGCTCGGTATTTTTCGCTCGGTTTTTTTTTAATTCGTGTGTTTTGGAAATTATATTTAGATACAAATTACATACTGATGAAATACGAATAATATTTATTGATCGTAGCGATATAATAGAAAAAAACTGAACTGGTTATTTGAATAAAAAATCATGAGTGCAATTTGTTTTATTTAAATTTTCGTGTTTTTAAAAAATACTAAAAAAAGGGCACGAAAAAATAGATTTTCTCAAAAAAAGAAAGGAACTTGAAAAAAAATTTAAAAAAAAGTCGGTCGGTCGGTCTGGGCTCGAACCATGGTATTACGAAAAGCTATTTGTAATCATTAATAAAGTGTCAAATATAAATTACAAATATACCTTCTTATTCTAACGATATTGTAGCAGTTTTTCATTGCCTAAAAACACGGACAAGAAAGACATTTTCTAAAAATAAATCCTAGCTAGATCGATTTATTGCCCCCGAAACTCCCTGCACACAAAATTTTATGATTCTATTATTTTATATTTATTAAACAAACAAAACATTTACACAAAATTTTTTTATCGTTGGAGCCGTTTCCGAGATTCCGATTATATATATATATATATATATATATATATATATATATATATATATATATATATATATATATATATATATATATATATGCAAGAATTGTTCGTTTAATAGTATAGGATACCAAAAAGAAGACCCTTTTTCCTAGATGGCATTCCATCTTGGTCCCTAGGGGTGACAACACATCTACATTTTGATTCTTAATCTAGGAAAGAAGTAAATATCTATTGGCTACAGCATACACTTACCATCAGATGTACTGTGTGGTCATTTATTACTCTTATTCTATAAAAAATATACTTAAGTTGGACGACCATTGTCGTTGTGAATACAAATAATAATAATAGTATATTTGCATAATATAAGTTCTATTATACAAAATTTTCTACGTGGTAGAGCCACGCTGTAGCTATTATGGTTGTAGCATGAACAGGTCGACCGGGGAAGAACCACGCTCTTACAGAATACCAGCGTAAAATAGCAGGTTAATGTGAAGTTTTACTGAAATCGAGGCATTTCATCTTAGTCCTCAAGGGTGACGACGCATCTGCATTTTGATTCTTAATCGAGATTGAATGTAGATGTCTATGGGCCACAGCATCAACTTACAATCGGGTGGACTGGGTGCTAGTTTGTCACCCTTATCCTATAAAAAAAATTCACTTACCAGCGCCCGTAGGTGGCATTTCAGCAAGAATGGAGTTGCATATTTCACGGTACGGCGTAGCGCGAGGTGGGTTCGACTTCAGCAAATACCTGAAGATTGAAAAGAATGTGAGCAATCATTCATTTATTAATTACAGCTCAAATCTTCTAGCATTTACAATAGAGTGCCTTATATGGAGGATATTTGCCAGTCAAGTCCAGCTTGACGCAACGAACTACAAAGTGACTATCATATTGATGTCAATATTAGCGAATATGCCTGATCTACCACGTTCTTCGCGGTGAGAGAAAATATTGTACAAGCTTGAGAAATGTTACAAGTGCGCACTATGCACAGGAGCACCTTCTTACTACATCACCCTCTCATAATAAAACAGCTTTACGACCATTAAACTTCATTCAACAAATAACTATGGCACTCTTACATTCCGATTAGGTCTAAGGATGTACGATCCAAATATGTAAAATAAAAACTGGTTTCTCACCGATATCTTTCCACAAAGTTCTGGAACGGGATGCGTATAGGATATCCGGTCTGACGTATCTTAATAGTGTCCAGCATGCCAGTGTAGCGCAACTGTGCCAGCACGCAAGGCAGTTCAAACTTCATGGGAGACTTGTCTGTATTCGGCTTAATGCAGCGGACAAACCACGGGTTGCAGCGCGACATCGACTCCAGCAGTTGATGAAGACTATCGGAGAACCTGGATCACAGAGGATATTGTCAGTCATGTGAAAAAATTTAGTGAATGCACACTACGTAAACGTTGAGTTGATTGTATACTTTAAATAAATATTCATTCAGAATAAAGAGATCATATTTAATATCAAAGTACTTTTATATTATATAGATTATGGCTAAAGACTATATATTATAACTAAAAATGTGTTTTGTTTGTTTGCTTTCTCTTCTATTAAAATATATTATAACTATATTTTAATAGAAGAGAAAGCAAAAAAAAGCCTATATTATATCTAAAATCTTCATGCAGTCTTGAAAACTCGTTTTTTTTTAATTACATTTAGATACAAATTACATGAATAATGGGAATATTGTTTGATCTTATTGACATAATAGAAAAAACTGAACTGGTTATTTGAATAAAAAATCATGAGTGCAATAAGTTCAGTTAAAATTTTCGTGAGAAATAATTGATTTTCTCACAAAAGAAGGGAACTTGAAAAAAAAGGAAAAAAAGTCGGACCGAAGCGGGACGCGAACCAAGGCATTACGATTTCGCGACCGCTCGACATCCACTTGAGCTATTACGATCATTAACACAGTGTCAAAATTTACTTTGTTATATTGTAGCAGTTTTTCATTGCCTGAAAACACGGACAAAAAGACAGTTTTCTAAAAATAAATCCTAGCTAGATCGATTTATTGCCCCCGAAACTCCCTGGACACTAAATTTTATGAAAATCGTTGGAGCCGTTTCCGAGCTTCCGATTACATATTTTTCTAAATATTATTAACAAGCATTGACACATTTCCAAAACGCTACCAACTTCAATCAAAGAAGACCACAGATGCGTTGTCACTCCTGAGGTATTCCAGATGGAATACCTAATATATACTGTATATAAGATATCCGAATAGTTTTGTAACTCTGACTAAAAATAAAGATCCTAACCTTTTTCGGCGAGATGTCGTTAGGTTAGTTAGCATTGAAAAGGCGCGAGCAAACGCAAAGTAGCAGGTCGGAGCGATAACCGTTTTTCCCTTCGTACACTCATTTTAGTTGACACGTCATTGACTCACCTGGCGGCGACTGTAGGTGTCCTAGGCTTCATAGTGACGAAGCGTCCGTTGGCGCCGCGTGGTAGCGTCTTGTTGGCGTCGTGGTGCGCTCGCAGCTGCGCGGACATCTCGGCCACCAGCGGCACCTCGCTGCCGCACAGCAGCTCCAGTACATCGCCACGCAACGCGTCCCGGTTCTTGTCCAGGAAGCCCTCCACGTTGTACCACACCTGTCCCGCGTAATGCTTGATCTGGGAACGCGAATAAGATTTGTTTTATAAAATTGCAATGGCCACCGAATTTACAGTCTACCTGATGGCTACTTCAGCCCATATGAACACCTGAAGCCAACTTCAAATATCAGATGCGTTGTCACTTCTTAGAACAAAGATGGGTCTTACGGCCTGTTAGACAGCCAGCCTAACTCTCTATACCCTTAAGGGGAAATTTAATGTCAAATGGCTTAGCAAGATCCTTCGTTATGCCGAAAATATTGCAGCATTAATTTTGAAATAAATATATGGTAAAGTTGAGGATTAATGTTAATGATTATGTTAGACCAAAACACGATTTCGTAAAATTTTCTCGATAGAAAAAAAATCCAAAGTTACCTCCAAAATAAACAATAAACCGCTGTTATTCATAAAATACTTTAAATAAGATCATGAAACTTTACATACTAACTGAACTAACTATAAAGCAGTGCTTATGTTATTTACTTTTTTTAAAATACCATTATTTTCACTGTAAAAAAGAAATTACCTAAACTATCGGCGTCTTGAGCTTGATTCCTGTCGCACCGTTAGTATCGCTTAGGCTTTTGAAGGGAGAAGTTGTGTCGCTTACGATCAGAATATACATTACGCAACAGTACGACGTAAAATTAAAATGGGAAATAACCGTGATAAAAATAAGAAGCGGCTGGCTTGGCGTTAAGAAACAGGCATAAATATGATAAGCCTAATGAAATAAGTGTCTAACGACCTATCTACTTACAGTATTAGTGATTACAAACATATCGGTACATAGCATACGACGCGCGGGGAAGTGGGGGCGAAATTAGAATTTGAGCTGACTTACTCTATCCTCTTAAGACCGAAACACGGTTATGCACGCATTGTTGTGCGTACATAACTGCGTAATTGTGCGTCAGAGAACTATATTATAGTGCTGAATAACGGATCCCAGGTCCAAGATTTGGACTTTAAACCACTGCCGGGCTAAACTTCGAGCAAAAGGTACATAAAAAAAGGTTAATATTTTTTGGATGTATTGCGATTGACCTCGTACCTTGTCTCTGACAATTCATCCGAGCCTACCTCTGATCTTGACGCAAACATTACACCCAGTAGAGATAAAGTAAGACGATCTATATGTTTGTACATGCACTTGTACAATATTCTAAGCAGTTTGAAAATGACTTTTGAGGACTTCTTGCTTCTGACGAGTAGATCGAACAATCAATCGATGTAGGTACAATCGAAGTCAATGTATGACATATATCGGGTATATACAGAGTGTTAGTGTAAGCACCGTTGTCCTTGAAACCAGTGGTTTGGTTTCACTTATAGAACGTAAATTCAATGAATTAAAAAATTTTACGTATTTTCTTTCATAAAATTTAAAAAGTTTCTGTCCGACACCGTCCGTAAAATCATGGATACCCTATGTGCCCGAGTGACGTAATCACTGTAAAAATCATCGCCCGCGCTAGCTACCTACACAACATTCAACATAAAAACACAATAGGTACACATAATCTGTGATGTAACTTTTCCTTCATACTTTCATCCTGGCTTAGGACAGGCAAAAATTGAGGAATTAAGGAAAAGTTGAGATTTTACTAAAAAAAAATGTTGTTATTTTTCATTGAATTTACGTTCTATAAGTGAAACCAAACCACTGGTTTCAAGGACAACGGTGTTTACACTAACACCCTGTATAGGTACTAAGAGTATAGTCTCTCCAGAATTTAGATACTAAAACTTTTCTTATCGTATACTTAAGTTTTCCTTTCAATCGTAAACAAATTTTTAAATAGTGAACTTTCTTTTTCCTTATGAGGCAATCTATAAGTGGGTGGAAGCCTATGTTGAGCAGTGGACTTTAATAGGCTTTAACGATAACGGTACTTTCTTAGTACATACATAGTTGCAATTATTTATGACAAACGTGACCCGGTCGCGTTACGGCGCCTCTACACGTTGGCCAACACAGTGGCGAATGTAGTGGCCAATAGTATTGGTCAACGTGTAGACGGGGTGTTTGGGCTTCATTGGTATGTATTGGAACGATGGCCCGCAAGTTGGCGCGAGATCCGTGTGGTGTCGGTTTTTTACAAAATATCAAAGGATTGTCGGCAGAGTTTGGTCGCCGCGTCCGCCGTGGCCGCGAGTTTAGTTTGCTACAAGCTCCCAGAGTGATTACACGCATCTGATTAAAATTTTATATTCACGCTTTGTAGGGTGGATGACCCAATAACCAGCCTTTTAGTGTCTTGTGGGCTTTCCAAGCGTGGCCAATACGGCAAAGGAAGGAGGGTGAAAATCTATGTTGAGCAATAGATTCTAACAGTATATAATGTATGGATAAGAACCGAAATACACTATGTCACCTGGATCTAAAGCATCATAAAATTACACGAAAGTTATAAAGAAGAAATCTTACTCCGAATTCGTTGGCTCCCAATCTGGGTCTCGAGTAAAGCTCGTTAAGAGCGTGATTATAATGGCACTTTTCTAGGAACGACGCGTCTGAAGCACGCGGGAAATTGCTCTCATCGTCCAACAAATGCAGAATACCAACGGGCTTCTTACTTAACAGCTGAATCACTGGAAACAGAAACGAACTTGAGAACCACAAACAGATATGCAAATATATTATCTTAAACGTGTAATAAATACCTGGTGAATTATCGTTCCACGTCAAATTGGACCACTCTAAACGTTCCTTCTGATATTCTTGTTGTTCAAGTTTGAAAATGTGTTTGTTGAAATAATGCTGCAGCGTTTCATTCGCGTAATTAATGCAAAGTTGCTCGAAGGAATTCTCTTCCAAGTCTTCGAAGCCGAAGATGTCGAGTAGAGAAATCCGGTGAGCGTCGTGTAGACCAGCGCGGTGGACTATCGAATTAATGCGTAAGACGAGCCAGTTGAAAAGGGAAGAATAAAGGGCTTTAGCAAAAGCGTCTCTAGCGTCTAATGCCTGGTCTATTGGCAAGGGCGATCTCATACGCTCAGCCCGCGCAGCAGTAACTCTCGTAGTTAAAGCCCTTGCCAAATCCTCAGCGGGAATTTTTAATAAATGCGCTGCCCAGCGGACTTCAGCTCCTCCGCCTAATTGAACTCCTTCCTGTCCGTGACGTAACTGTCTTCTGTGAAAATACACATTTCCTAAATGGAGAACGGCAGCCAAAACTCTGATGATGTCTTCTCTTTCTGCATCGCCAATACCAAGTACTTGCATAGCCCCACATAGAGCGGACCAATCAGCTCCAGCGCCAGCGCCTCCTGAATCTCCTCCTTGGTTTAGATAAAAATAGTGTTCTGCTGTCAAAAGACCTCTTGCCCGTCTTTGTTCTTCATCTAATCCCGCTAATAATTCATAGAACACATGATAATTTCTTTCACCAGGCGATTGAGTGACTATTCTCGATTTTTCGAGTAGATAATGTGCGACTCTGGCTCCGGCTAATGCACCATCTTTGAAATAGAGTTCTAACAGTTTTCCAAATCGACTAGAGTTATGATTTTTTGGCGTTCTCGCGTTTCCGAACGCTTCCAGTAATGGCGCTGCTTCTAAAATTTGTTCGGAGACGGGAGCCCTGCCTAAAGGTGCAGGAGCGACCGCAGCAAGAAACTGAACAGCTAGTTTAGTGGATTCAGTTTTTCCCGCGCCGGACTCTCCAGAGATCAAAATGGCTTGAGGATGTGGTAACGATGCGCGAGCGGCGGCCGCAATGGCGAAAAGATGTGGCGGTAGGTCACCTAATGCTTCCGCTGCATGGTATCTGTATAAAAAAAAAACAAATACTGAGTCAAAGTGGGATGGAATATTTTTCATTTTACAAAATTTAGCCATACGTTTTACCTACTCATAAACTCATAGTGTAGTCATAACAATGCCTACTACAAAAAAAATGGTATTCTTAGAGTACATTATTAGCTTCGGGGAAAATTTAATAAGTTTTTGGTAATGTTCGGAAGGTTTTGACATTGAATGTGAATTGTGAATATATATTATTTAAGTTTGAAGAGGTTATGTTATGCTGTACTGTAACATTGTGCCCACATCGTAGATTAAGACAATACTATTCTAATGGTGTCAAGGTTGTGCTCTGTACACAGTGTCTAACGACACTTTAATTATTTATACACAAATACAATAGAGGAGACCTTCCATTCATACAAATTCGTTTTGGATTTAATCCAACTTCGTAACCAATGATACTAGACAGCTAGTCTCCATCTAGTTTAAATATTTGCAACTGAGTTTTTTAATTAAATTAATTTATTTATCTTGATTGTGTTATTAACAAGGCGAGACTTTTAGTCGCTTTGATGAACTCTGCCACTTACGCTCATATATTTTATAAACAGATTAGCAAGCTGCATATAGATATAAATAAAACGTAGAAATAATATACCTGTATCCGAATCAAAAGAAAAAGACCGGTTTTATTTTTTTTGGTCAAATCCACTCAGATCAGTTAAAGGTTGTTTTGTTTTAAATTGCGATAAAAAGGACCTAAGTCATCGACGTATAAACCTTGGTTATTCGCTTTTTGTATAGAGATATGTATTACCAAATTGTAAATACATTTGTGCATATAAAATGAAAGTGACACACGAATTTGCAGTCCACCAGATGCTAAGTGGCTAGCGTAGACCATGGATATCTGCAACCAAGTTCTTATAAAGGAGCCCTTAAGAACTATTATGGAATGCCTTCAGACTGGAATACAGAAATGCAGATAAATACTAATTGGCGTTAAAGTTAAGTAAAAGTTTATAGCCAATAACTCTAGTAAAAAGTCTATAACTCGCCCGGCACGCAACTCTAGCACTGAACAATACGTGGATGGGATTGCTGCGAATGACGTATCAGTACGGAGGACGGAATGCGAACGGAGAGAAAATCAGCGCATGTGAACAATAGTTCAGCTATTCATACGCAATAATGCGCAATACGACCAATTATGTGCAATAACTGTCACTGCTAGACTTTCCTGCCGCGAGTTGTACTGAGTCGGACTCTTAGGCAGAAAATGAATCCTATCACCTCGTAAAAACACGTACGTTCACCGTTACCGTTACAGCCTGTTAAAGTCCATTGATGAACATGGGCCTACTCCATAGATTGCCTCATAGGGAGTATATTTGGGATAGTTGCCACGCTTTGCAAGCGGATTGGCTACTGCATTGTTTTTATTTTTAGTCCTTATTAGTAAGACGCTGCGCCCATTTTCTGCTTTGTTTCCCTCTGTCGCCTCTACGATATTTACGGGATGATACGGGATGACGAGTAGTGGATATTTTTATACCACCATGTACCATGTTCACATGTACGTTTATTTCTGCATATTAAATACCAGTAAAAAATCAATTTAATTTCCCATGTTCATCGGTAACGCTATCACACAAATGTGTATATTATTATTTATAACAATGTGGAGGCACAATGCCACTCACACCTTTGACCATTGTCCTGTCTGTCTGAGAACTACAACTGGAATATTACAAGTTGGCTACACTGACATATTGTGGAGGCCATGAGATCTTTCTGAAATGCCCCATTCATTGTTAGATACACTTACAACACCACGAATGAAATAAGTTGATATAATCTCCTTCTTCTCCTTTTTTCCCACAATTGGTAAAATCCTTGTTCAGCAATGGACTGTTTTAAACTGGTAAAGCGTTTACTGAATAACTTCTTCAATTAGCGATATTAGCACCACACGCATCCAGTCTGGTAATGGTAAGTGCAATGTTTGGAAACCCCGATTAATTACCTGCAAATCCTTCAGGTAGTTCTATTAACAATAGTGCAAGGATGTAATGATGATATTGTTGATGACATTGAACCTTTATATTAATTATAATCAGTTGAGTATATCAATGGGCAGCAGCATCTTCCTGATAACAACTCAAAGTAATAAAAAACTGCGGGTGCCAACCCGCTCGCCAAGCGTGGCAAGTATGGCAAAATCCCCTATTTAGCAATCTTTGTCCAGCACGGACCTTTATAGGCTGTGATGATGATGATAATGAAGTACATCAATCATAAAGAACAACATTAAATAATTTTTATGATTCGGATACACATTTCACGCGTTTCACAACATTTATTTAAACTATTAATTTACTAAATATAGAATGCGTCCGGTTTTACCTCGAAATATTGTGAAACAAGTACTAGTGTGGTATTCAAATCACAAAAATGTAGCTGAAGTTTCGACAAGTGCCCGCAAATATAAATTATATAATATAATTTCTTACCTTCTTGCAGTCTGTAGACCATACAGAGTATCCACAGGCCTGTAAGGATTAACAGCAACTAATATGGACCCTGCGTAGGTGTATATAAGGCCCTGCTCGTATCTCAGCTTCAAATTCCAGAGCAAAGCGGCTTCGTGGAGGTCGTGGAGACGAGTCATATCTTCGACACCGGTTGGTCCCAACTCTTCGCGCGGCCATACTGGATCTCCCTCTTCTTCGCCATTGCCCATTTGAAGGGCGAAGGTTTGTGGCTGTGGGAAACGGTTTAAATATATTTCATGCGTTTTTTTTTTAAATAACCGTTCAACTATATCAACAGATCGCTTTTTCTAAAATCTTATAAATATCTTGCTCGCTTTCTGAGGCCGTTGAAAAAGATAAAAATCATAACGCGTAGATTGTGAGGTTAAGGTTGACCCGCTTACATATTCTTTATGAATTATAGCACAATTTTGCAATATAATTTCCTACTGACTTACTTCTATTAGGCATGTAATAACGAAATCAAGAAAGAGCACGAATCCGCAGCCACACGGAAAATTGTTGCTTCCCGCCAGGGCTGTGACATAACAGCTGCTTACAATTCTATCGCGTACCGCTGAGAAATTTCGCTGTCGAGATCACAGGAAATCTTTTATATCGTATTTATTGCTAATGAGTTAATGAAAATGAGTTAAGCCAGATATTTACACACGTGTAACAAAATGATAATTAAACCGCATTCCTGATTTTATGGTTGTGTTACGTTGAATTATTCATCTTTAATGAGGGCATCCACGGCTTTTTGTGCAGTCAGAGTGGCGCCACTTAGAAATGAGGAAAAATAATTTGACAGATTTCATAGCGGGGAATTAGGGGTTTTCGCGGGAACTTCGCTTGTCGCGCGTCGCTTGAATAATGGTTTGAAGTGGATTTTGATTCCTAAAAGTGATGCGATTTTGTGAATTAAGTGTCTGCGCGTGTGAACTATTAGAGAAAACTACGAAACAAGTGTTTTGATGTCGATATAAACCTCAAGTTATTTTGATCGCTTGGGCACCTCATGAACTTGAGTGGCTGTCGTCATCAACTGTCCGTTGGGTTGAGCTGTCGTCAAAATCTTCCAAAAGCTTCGCAATGTGACGCATGAGCATATTTTGAAGAAGAAAAAATATAAAAATGAAGATTTCGAAAGAAATGATAGGCTCAGAAGGGCTAGAACCCAGAACCGGTAAAGCAAGTTAAATAAAAAAGCGGGAAAGTTGTTTTGATTTTGTTACAAAAGTAAATAGGTTAATGTTTATTCCTGAAATATATGTTTTTATATTTTGTATTACGGATATTCCTAAAAGTAGAAAGATTAAAAAATGTTTAAAAAAGTGTAAAGACTTAACGAGATAAATAGAAAAACTTATAATTAAATATCAACTTTTCAATGATGATGACATTGGAAGTTGTGATTTAAGGGTGTCTTGTTTTTTTTGTTGTTTTGCCGAACGCACATGTGTGACCGCAGTTTTTTATTATTTTAAGTTGTTATTAGAAAGACGCTGATGCCCATCTGACTTGTCTCCCTCTGTCGCCTCTTACGACACCCACGGGATGATATGAGGTAGTGGATATTCGTACACCGGGTACTACACGGTAAAAGTAAAAAGTAAAGTTACAGCCTATATACGTCCCACTGCTGGGCTCAGGCCTCTCCTCATTTCTGAGAGGGTTTAGGGCAAGGAAGTGTCCGCCGCGCTGCCCAAATGCGTGTTGACGAACTTCACATGTCTTCGAAATATTTTTTTTCTTATTCCTCAGACATGTAGGTTTCCTCACGATGTTTTCCTTCACCGCCGAGCACGTGGTAAATCAGCACTTAAAATTGCAATTAACAATTTCATTGGTGCCGGCGGGGATCGAACCCGGGTTACTCGCGTTCTGTTTTATTTACAGCGAGCGTTAACCACTGAGCTACCACGGCTCTTACTACGCGGTAAGAGCGTAAAATTAAACGCCCTCATTTGTAACCTATGTTGTGAAATTAAGCTAATTTTTTTCATTACACCGATACTGTCAAACTGACCCCCATTTATTCACGCGTATTATCAAACGGAACATGACCCACGTGACATTGAAAGTTAGCAAAGAGCGATTGTAAATTTATGTTAGTGGGTATATCGACAGAATCATCTGATGGTTTTTTTTGTTTGACATTACTTTAATATGCTAGAAAGAGACAGCATCTTAAGTTCTTAAGTGTATATTATGTAAATATTAATACATATTAAAAATGTTTTGCGAATATAAATGTTTATTGACGAGATATGGAAAGATTATAATATTTGCTAACGCTTTATTCAATTAATAAAAAGAATTTTAAGAGACTTATATCAAAAATAATAATATGTTTGTTTTCTTTTATAGAGACGATTTCTTAAAATTTTGCATGGTTATCTGAAAGAGGATGAAATATCACTCAATTAAGAAGTTAATGTTGTAGTTAAGGTTTTTATGAATTTGGATAACCTCAAATTGAAGATAAATACCAGCAGGTTTTTGCATGCACATTTGCAATTTATCACTTCTAAGGACTACGATGGAATGCCTTACAATCTGTAAATATACTGGTTTTTCATACCCTTGTTTTTTATTCCAAAGTGAATTTCGTCATCCGTAGCAAAAACGGAATCAACACGAAAAAATATTAGGACAATGATTTATATGGTTTTAAAAGTTTACACTGCTCGTCTACAAAATGCTTTTGTCAGTAAAACATCTTATATCTTATGAACCGTAAAGTGTTGATGAGCAGAATTTTATCATATCCGTGTTTCTCTCGAATTCTCGATAGTATAATTCGTGAGGAAAATGTCGCTACATTCAGCCGCCTATTGAACAGAAGACGGCGAGCTTCACCTTTTAGAAAATTCGAGGATATTTGGATATTGGTATGACCAATTTTGCCGCTGGAATTCTCATTAACTCACGCCAGAGCAAAATCGGGATCGAGTTGATTTGTGTAAATAAATGTTGTTTCTAATTTTCTGTATATGACATTGTGACAGGGGTTGAAAAGGTAGATAGATATATTGTAACATTCAGGAAAGAAAGCAACAGTCTCGTATACGGGTGTTCGAAGTCGACAGTAAACCAACAAAGTTTAGTCAGGCAAGAAGCGTGAGCAAAAAATAATGCGTTTTTCTTTCCACCAGACGTGTCCTGTCTGCACGATCCCACTTGAGGAGCAAAAGATAATTAATTCTTAGTGATACACCATCAATTGTTTGTACAGTGTCTTTGTAAAAATAAGAAAATCGACTAAGAATCGTAACTTATTGCACCATGACAATGCTTCGGTGCACACCGTAAACAAAACAGACATTTTTAGTTTTTGAAAAGGTGAACCTCGTGATCTATCCCACCCACAGTACAGACTTCGAAACATGCGACTTTTTTTATATGCACAAAAATTGAATATTTGATGAGAGGACGACGGAGCCAGAAGAGTCCGTGATAGCTTAGCAACCAGCACGTGAAAACATACCCTTAGACTAAACGTCCTCATGTTTTCAAAAATGGTTTGAACGTTTGAAAAGTCTTTAAAATGGAGTTAAAATACAATGGAGGTAAATACTTTGAAAAACAGTAAATAATTAGTTTACATTTTTTTTATAGATTAAGGGTGACAAACGAGGACACAGTCCACCTGATGGTAAGTGGATGCTGTGGCACATAGACATCTACATTTATCCTCGATTAAGAATCAAGACCCAGATGCGTTGTCACCCCTGAAGACTAAGAGTTTCGTTTCCAGTAAAAAGGGTCTCCGGTTCTCTACACTCACCATACGAAACACAGCAGCATTAAGCTACTATTTGACGCTGGTATTCTGTGAGAGCGTGGTCCTTCCCCGGTCGAGCCGACCCATTCGTGCGACAACCATAATATAACTGCAGCGTGTCTCTACCACGTATAAACTTACATACTATAAATAAAACATATTTATGGGTAACGGAAAACTTACAAGACCCCACGTACAAAAGTTGCTGTCGAGTAACAACTCATAATGTTTGTGGTCCTTTTTTAACCATACATTATATCCCGTACTCCATTACAAGTTCCCACACCCTCCGACTACCTTTTTCAGCATTTGGACAACTCTCTCAAGAATACTTATTCATAGCAATTTATCATAATTTACCTGATTAGAGTAAAACTTTTCTACTGGAAAGAATCAGCAAGAAACACGGCGGGACTTATTAAAATTTTCATTTACCATATCTGTTGTACAAATTAGTAATAGCACGATTGCGATCATTGCATTCCCAAGGGTTATAAATTATTGTCAATCATTTATCATTTAATTATATCCTCTTTAAAACAACTTTTGTTTAATAAAAAAATTTAGAGTTTTGATAGATAGGCCGGATCTTTTTTGTAGGAGGGGAAAATTGCCCTATGAAGGAATTAATGACTCTTTGGAGTCGGTTAAAAGGGATTAGCTTGTGCTTGTTCTCAGTATTTATAGAATGTAAATCACTATTTTTATTAAAAATACTTTTGTTTTTGTATACATATTATATTAACAAAAATATACAAAGAGGTCACAGTTAATGTATTTATTTCCTTTGTACTTAGATTACAAATTGCTCCCTTCTCCATAAACAAAAATATAGTTTCAATCTCAGTCCCATTAACCCATGGCAAAATTTCAATCGACATAATGTCACAACTACCGAAATAAAACAAGTAAGTACCTATTACAAAATGTCTTCAAAGACTTCGTTGAATCATGTTCCCCAAATTTTTACATGAAAGGTATAAAATCTTTAGAATCTTTTTTGCAAATATATTTTTGTCCATAGATTAAAAAAGCAACTTTATATTCAATACGTTGACGTAAACATCATGCCTGTAGCGTTATAAATAAAGCATTACAAAATTATTTTAAGGTTAAAAATAAGTGAAACGTGAAAAGTTCTTAAGTTAGCTACTTTTTAATTAACCCCCGACAAAAACAGAAGGGTGTTATAAATTTGTAGTGTGTGTCTGTGTGTCTGCCTGTGTCAACAGTCCAAAGGTTAAAACGATTTTAATAAAGTTTTTTTTCGTCTGAAAGGTGTCCTAATCGAGTGTTCTTTAGCCATGTTTCAAGAAAACCTGTTCAGTCATTTGAAGATCATCAGCTCTTTTTGTTTCGTAAATTTTTAAAATGTTTAATTTAAATTATTATGCTTTATGTATACTTGACAACGTACATTGTGCAATAGAACGTTCAAACATAATTCCTTTAACTTCGGCACGAACATTGAACTTCGCCTTCTAGTTCTAATGGCGGACATATTTGCTTGCCTTCACACTTTTAAAATCGAAGACTTCGGTAACTTCGCGACTTTTGTCTGTACTTCTGTCTATGAAAAAAACTATGACGTGTCCATGGGAAATTTTGATAATCTGTGGAACCGCAAGACACGTCGTATGCGTCGCAGGCCTCAGGGGAGCTGCGTGGAGTTGGAGCAAAATGGACCGGCATCGACTGACACAGAATTATAAATTATTTGCTATTTCCGCATCATAAAAAACTACATTAAATTATGAAATTAAGTATTACTAAATATAGCTGTTATATATATTATTACACACTTAATTGTAAGACAGTAACGTTTAACTCATAAATATCTCGGTAATAATATTAAATTAGGAAGCTCAACCACGTTCACTTTCAAGAGTAATGCGAAAATTATTCCAAATACACTTTCATGTTTTCTCGAATCTAAATTTTAAATTAATGAACACTGACTTGAGAGTTGTTAAGAAATATACGTAGTAATGAAGTAACCCGCGGACCACGAGTAACTGATTTGACCACATACCACTAGCATGACTAGTCTAGATAAGTGGTGATAGCTAACAACGGTTAGACACAGCATGAAGGATAACGGAACTAAAAATACGCCAGTTGGCAGGTTCCTATATAAAATCTGGCGAAATATGAAATAAAAAAAAAACGATATCGCAGCTTTTGACAAACTTATTTAAAAAAAAAAAACTAAACGATCGTAGAATTTGCATCGCCGAGCAATTTTCAACTTTTTAATGATGATTTAAATGCACAGGTAGGTAATTAAAACTGCACATTATAAACTGTCACACGTAACGTCACTTTGAGAAAAGGCATGCGCTCGCCGATCGCAAGGCCGTGTCCAAGGAATGTCGATAGAGAGCTAACAGCTCATTCTGATTATGTGGTATGTTTTATTTCTGCTTAGAAATAAAATGTAGCCCGAAATATGAAACTAGCAGTCGCTTTCTTAAACTCACAATTAGTACCCGTCAAGTCTGTAATCAATAGGTGCAAATTAATAAAAAGAAAGTACAACACATGTAATAAATCTAGTACAAGGAGCTATGTTAAGAATAATTAAGGATTCAACGACTAGGGAATAACCCTCCTATTTTAACATCAACATTCAAAACATCAGTTTATAACTTATAACTACAAATCATAAACAACATTTAAGTAGAAACGAAATAGAAGATACCAATATCAACAACTCGATTAGTATTAACATCTAATAGTTCTATATAGTGTGTTGTTGAAAAATATAAGACGACATTTTATAACACGTACTCAATTTTTTTATATTATGCATGTTGGCAATATCATTTCCACAACTCATACACCAGTCACGTTCGTGCTCAAATGATTAAAACGTAAACCTACACAACTAACTTACTTCACATGCGGAAAATCTATTTTCGTGATATATCTTTTCGAGTTTCACTTGTCATTCTAATGGGCAACTGATAACTTTTTTATTGGATAAGGGTAACAAACGAGCACACAGTCCACCTGATGGTAAGTGAATGCCATGGCCCATAGACATCTACATCTATCCTCGATTACGAATCAAAATACAGATGTGTTGTTTCCAGTAAAAAAGGTCTCCGGCTCTGTACACTCCCCATACGAAACACAGCAGTATTAAGCTGCTATTTTACGCTGGTATTCTGTTAGAGCTTAGTCTTTACCCGGTCGAGCCGACCCATTCGTGCTAGAACTTAACTACTCATATAGCTACAGCATGGCTCTACTACGTAAAATAAACTAAAAAGATACTTGCGGGCCAATTTAATTATAGTTGCCACCCGTACTATAATATATAGTACCGTACTAATATTTCAGTTTTTCAGTCAATGTACTATATATATATATATATATATATATATATATATATATATATTAAAAAATCGGAATCTCGGAAACGGCTCCAACGATTTTCATAAAATTTTGTGTGCAGGGAGTTTCGGGGGCAATAAATCGATCTAGCTGGGATTTATTTTTAGAAAATGTCTTTTTGTCCGTGTTTTTAGGCAGTGAAAAACTGCTACAAAATAGGTAGAATAAGAAGGTAAATTTTGACAGTTTATTAATGATTACAAATAGCTTAATTGGTATATTGGGCGGTCACAAAATCGTAACACCATGGTTCTAGCCCAGACCGACCGACCGACTTTTTTTTAATTTTTTTTTCAAGTTTTCATTTTTTCGAGCCCTGTTTTAGTATTTTTTAAAAACAAGAAAATTTTAATTAAACTAATTGCACTCATGATTTTTTATTCAAATAACCAGTTCAGTTTTTCTATTATGTCGCCAAGATCAAAAAATATTATTCGTATTTCATCAGTATGTAATTTGTATCTAAATATAATTTCCAAAACACACGAGTTAAAAAAAAACCGAGCGAAAAATACCGAGCAAAGTTCGGTCAACCGGGTACTATTATTTAAAATGTGTAGTGTTCGCGTAAATACAAGAAATCATTATATAAAAGTTAATTGTTAAGTTATTTTAATATGAATCTAAATAGCTCAGAATCTTGCAAAGTAAGGTAGACGGTAAGGCGGTTAGGTCATTGATGGCCAAAGTAAAGAGCAATAACAAATATATTTGGAAAATTACATAAAGATTACAAATAAATGAGTACTTTTCTGGTATATCGAGGTGCTGAAGTGTTTGTACAGTAGGGCTACGATGGCTATCCGAGTACAGAACCAGAGTTCGAAACCTATCCAACTGCAGAGAGGTGTAAGACAGGGTGACGTTATATCCCCGAAACTCTTCACCGCTGCGTTGGAAGACGTTTTCAAGCTACTGGACTGGAAAGGATACGGTATCATTGTAACATCAATGGCGAGTACATCACTCACCTTCGATTTGCCGACGATATAGTCCTTATGGCAGAATCGCTGGAGGACCTTAGCACTATGCTCAATGACCTCAATGGTGTCTTCCAACGGATAGGTCTTAAGATGAACATGGACAAAACAAAGATTATGTTCAGTGTCCACGTCACACCTATGCCGGTAGTTGTGGGGAGCACTATGCACGAAGTTGTTGACGAGTACGTTTACCTGGGACAAATAGTCCGACTAGGTAAGTCCAACTTCGACCGAGAGGTCAATCGACGGATTCAACTCGGCTGGGCAGCGTTCGAGAAATTACGACACATCTTCTCGTCAGGTATACCTCAATCTCTGAAAACTAAAGTGTACAACCAGTGCTTGTTGCCAGTGATGACTTACGGATCAGAGACGTGGTCCTTCACTGCAGGCCGTATGAGGACGCTCAAGGTTTGCTCAGCGAGCTATGGAGAGGGCTATGCTCGGAGTTTCTCTGCGTGATAGACTCAGAAATGAGGATATCCGCAGTAAAACCAGAGTGACCGATATAGCCCAGCGGATTAGTAAGCTGAAGTGGCAATGGGCCGGCCATATAGCTCGAAGAACCGATAACCGATGGGGAAGAAAGGTTCTCGAGTGGCTGCCTCGTACCGGTAGGCGTAGTGTAGGGCGACCCCCCACTAGATGGAGTGACGACCTGGTAAAACATGCAGGAAGTCGATGGATGCATGTGGCTCAGGGCCGTGCTTTGGGGCATTACTTGGGGGAGGCCTGCTGAACATAGCAGTGGACTTGTGAAGGGCTGTAATGATGATGATGATGAAAAGTTTGATAGTTGTTTGTGATTGATATTTTTCTCACCTGCCCATTGACGACGGCGCTGACTAGGAGCACTCTGGCCGCCCGGTGTACCTCCACCAGCTCACCAGGCAGCGGGGCCGGAGCACCCGCCGGCTGGAACCACACCGCAGCCCCCCTCCGACCACTCCACGAGCCCCCCCGAGCCCGCCATGCTGTTAAACAAAAACAATTAACTATAGATTACACTATAATTCACTATACATTGATTGGGTGATTTGATTTAATTCGGCATAATAACATCCACTACCTCATATCATCACGTGGGTGTAAGACAGAGGGGGAAGCTAAACAGCAAAAAAACCGATTACAGCTGCATAAAACAAAACCAGCGGTTGCTAACCCGCTTGCAAAGCGTTGCGACTATGGCAATATACCCTGAGGCAATCTATGTAGGATACCTGTGTTCAGTAAAAGACTTGTGTTAGGTTTTATATGATAATGGTACACTATAATAATTCAAAACAGAAGGTTTAAAATTTACATACATACACATACATAAACACTCACGCCTGTCATCCAGAGGGGTAGGCAGAGACTACAGACTTCCATATGGTACGATCCTGACCCAGCTCTCTCGTCTCCTCCACATCCCTATACATACGCATACATGCTCGTCAGTTAAGGGTACCCCAAATTTGGTCCATTTTCAATATATCATAAATTTGGTCGATAAACTTTCGCCTAGGACGTCCTTTTCCGACTCTGCCGTTCACTTCTGCAACATAAATTTGCTTTGTCACTCTTTCCTCATTCATTCTTTCTACATCATCAAACCACCAAAGCATTTCTTTCTTAATCCTGGTCACAACATAAACTTGCAAACCACACTCTTCTCTTATCACAAAATTTCTCATCCAGTCACTCAGATTTAGCCCTAACATACTCCTTAACGACCGCATTTCTACTGCGTTTATTCTACTCTCGCTTCTTCTGCCACACCCAACTTTCACTACCATACGTTAAAGTAGGGACTAACACAGCATTGTGAATTGCCATACGTGCCTTTTTTGACACATTCTGACTTTCTACAATAGAGTGTAGAGCCCCATTCACTCTATTTCCAAAAATTTTGTACTACCTACTATTTGTGAAATAGTCGTAAGCACCCTAAAAACAGCACAAGTCTTTTACATACGCTATTTAGTATAACTTCCAAAAGAGAACTAAGCTATGTGGATTTCAATACATCTAATGACTGTTGAGAAACCAGGTTATTAATTAATGATTTTAACAATGTTGACATCGTTTTTATTTAAACTTGTTTGGGTTTTAATTCGGGTTCATAGTATAAAAATATATCCATATTATACAGTCTGTACCAGTGCTGGAGATTTTATAAAAAACATGTAAACATAATTTCTTTGAACTGAAAAATTAATTTTTACGAATTTTATCGCGCTTTATTTTCATTTTTTATGTTCACAGAGGAACTGTCTCGGGAGTACAAAATTTTTAAAATTAAACCCACAAAAGCACAATAGTTGAGTATAGCATTAGTAATGGTGAACTTTCTTTTATCTTAAGATCTACAGTTTATCAGCGCTAAATGTATGCACACGTGATAAAGCTTCATTGTGAGTCGAACGTGTGTGGTGTCATTGACTTTGGTTGTGTCTCTAGCATGTTACACCGTACACACTACAGGACTTTTGTCTCCTAACAAGCGTAGAGAATTTCACAGAAAAATAATTTTTTCTAGGCTTTCGTTTGTGTGGAATTTCATATTGCCTTATCTGAGGGTTTGTAAAAGATAAGATTATTTAAATCGGCATTTGTCTCGTTACACCACCATCACATGGTCACCAGTGAAACAATCCTTCTACAAATCAAATAATTTTAAAAGCTAGGATGTACACCACGATATTAATGCACGCGATCTTACAAATAATTTTTCTTTGTACTTATTTTTCCGCAAATTAATAATATCTTTGATTCTATCATACATTGAAACATTTTTTAATGGATACCAGTATATAAATTTTTAATACATTTGCATTCAGTCACAAAGTCAACATTAATTTCTTTTTCGATGTAAAAATGTATCAATCGTTGGTGTTCCTAATAAGAAAGGTGTAATTTTAATTCTCAAATGAATTAGTAGCTAAAAGCTAACATCGCTCAATGTTGACAAGCTATTGCAAAGACTACGGAGTGCGGATCAAGTTATTGAATCGTTGGACAACACTTCTAAGCAAAACAAGGTCTCACATTTGTAACACACACACACACACACACCGCACGCACGCACGCACGCACGCACGCACGCACGCACGCACGCACGCACACGCACGCTCGCTCGCTCGCACCCACGCACGCACGCACGCACTCACGCACGCACGCACTCACGCACTCACGCACTCACGCACGCACGCACGCACGCACGCACGCACGCACGCACGTACGCACGCACGCACGCACGCACGCACGCACGCACCACGCACCACGCACACGCACACGCACAAGCACACGCACGCACACGCACACACACGCGCACACACACGCACACACACGCACACACACGCACACACACGCACACACACGCACACACACACACACACACACATATTTTACCGTAGCAAGTGAGCGAACGGAAATTTGGAAGGCAGGAAACGATAAACGAAACATCGAGCGTTCGAAATACTCCTCGATTATAAACACGACAAAAAACAAGTTCTCGTTACGCAGGTACGTACAATTCAAAACTTAAAAACAAAAGTGCGTATTGATGACATATAGATCTGAGAATCTGAGACATTGTCCATCACCGCTGGCTGCATGAGGAAGCTCAAGGTCGCTCAACGAGCTATAAGCATGATAAAATTCAAAATAAGAATATCCACACTAGAACAAGACTAACTGACATACGAGTAGTCCTACGGATCAGAAAGCTGAAGTAGCTCGACCTATAGCCTAAGTGCTATACTAATTCATTATGTGCTTCTCGATAAAGTAAAATATCGTAAGGATACCTGCATGTCTCATAAAAACAAAAAGGAACGACATAATGATATAAAGTCCGCTAAAATGCATTAGGGTACTGGGCTACACTCAGGTTTTGGAGATGGGAATTGAAAAATCTTGATACTTACATAATTAAAGAATAATTTACGTAAGGTGACATAGATCTAATCTATTTAATTTCTTAAATAAATTATTAAAATTAAGTCATATACGCGTGAAACAACATAAAAATTTTAATAGAAAAATAACGATTGTTTACTTTATTGATAAATCAATTTCGTACGTTAATGTAACATAAAAAAATATAAAATGACATTGTCATAGGCTTCTATTCCGTTTACCTGTTACACGCTATTTTTTTTCCAGACGGTAAAAATTCACCCAGTATATTCTGTGAGACATTACATCTTAGACCTTTGAAGTGACACAATACCGTGTCCATGGACTGTTTTATATTAAAGATTCTAAGTTCGTTTTCACTTCAGTATTATGAGAAAAAATACTACGTTTATTTATAACATTTGCGATTAATCTTTTTAAATTAAAAATCAATTGCTTTCCGTTAGTCTCGCTAAAACTCGAAAACGGCTCGACCGGTTTTGATGAAATTTTTTGTGTGTTTGAATGGGTCGTTAGATGGTTTAGATTCACATTTGGACCCGGTAGGTGGCGCTGTTGTCGAGATCCAGAAATCACCAGTGCGAAGCCCGGGCAAATCCAGTTTTTTTTAATAACAATATACTTATATATTACCTACATTTAGGTTATGAAGTCATAACTCGTCATTACGAGATTACAATAAACTTTTCTTTTATTTTTTATGATGATCACACTAATTCTGCATGTTGGATGCCTGATGGCATATTCTTGAAAGGATCTACGACCAGCATTCCATAGAATAGGCTTACAAAGCAAAGTATGACAATTTTTTACACGTAGTAGATGATAAAATAATTGCAGTTTATTTATTTCTTTAACTGGTCAGAATCTTGGTAAGAATATACCTATGTAATGCCTAATAATAGGAAACAAGTTTCCCGGAGACTAATGATGGAATTAAATTTTTAATTATAAACTGAACGAGGTTGAATAATTGAATTCGCGCAATAAAACAATTAATTACAAATAAACAACAAAACGACGGATTATTTTTGTAACAATTTAATATTTTTAAGGTTAATTTAATATCTATATAATAGTATTTATTATACATAACTTATAAGTTACTTAACAATGTTACGTGCGAAATCAAATTATAAATATATTGGTGATGGGAGAGCCGATGATAAATAGGAACACGGTGGCGGGGCAAAACAATCGCAAGCTGGCGGCGAATTCATACAGCATATCGGAGGCGGAGGAGCAGGCTGGAAACAAATTGGCGAGGGAGCTGGAGGTTGAATGCAGAAAGGCTCAAAAGGAGGTGGTTGAATACACATGGGAGGAGGCGGTGGAGGTTGTACACATATAGGCGGTAGGGGGGGCGGCTGAACGCTAATAGGACACGGCGGTGGTGGCTGGACCAACAATGGCTCCGGGCAAGGCGGCTGTATCGTAACCGGACACGGTGCAGGCGGTTGAATGCACATCGGCGGTGGAGGGGGCGGCTGTACCATCATAGGCGGCGGTGACGGTGGCTGGACCGACATCGGCGGTAATGGCGGCGGCTGTACCATAACTCTTGGCAGCGGCGGTGGCTGAACTACTATGGGCGGAGGTGCTGGTAGTTCAATTACAATCGGTGGTGGTAGCGGGAGTTCTAATATTAACGGAGGCGGCAATGGAGGACTAACACTCAAAGGAGGCAAAGGCGGTGGAGTGACGCACATCGGTGGTAATGGAGGTGGTGACACTGTCATAGGTGGAGGCGGAGGAAGAGAAATGGTCATTGGTGGTGGTGGTGGAGGCGTGATACACATTGGGGGACCTGGGGGTGGCGATACAGTGATAGGCGGAGGACACGGAAGTTCAATATACATTGGAGGCATTGGTGGAGGTGTTACACAAAGCGGAGGAGGGGTTGGAAGGGTCACATAAATGGGGGTTGGTGGAGGCGCTTGGCATCCGCATGGTAAGCCACCACAAGGACAACCGCAGGGTACGGCCGCTGGCGGAAGATACGAAGGTGTTGGTGGTGCTAAAAACATTGATGAGGGACATGATGACAATGCGTAATACTGGCCGTTTGCTGAGTACTGCAAAATAAACAAAATTTACTTGAAAACTTTTTTAAATATTTTTCAACTAGGAATTTTCGCGGGAGTTTGAAGCCGGCGGATCGTTGCTTCTGTTTTGGCTATTAGTGTAATCCATGTAACAAATGCTTTTAAAGTTAAAAGTTAAATTTACAGCCTATATACGTCCCACTGCTGGGCACAGGCCTCCTCTCATTCTGATCGCGATTTAGGGCAAGGAAATATCCGCCGCCCGGTCGAGCCGACCTATTCCTTCTACAACCATACAGCTAATATGGTTGTAGCACGAATGGGTCGGCTCGATCGAGGAATAACCACGCTCTCACAGAACACCAGCGTTAAATGGCAGATAAATGCTGTTGTGTTTCGTATCGTGAGTGTACAGAGCCGGAGACCTTTTTTACTGGAAACAAGGCATTCCATCGTAGTCCTCAGGATTGATAACGCATCTGCGTTTGATTCTGAATCGAGGATAGATGTAGATGTCTATGGGCCACAGCAACCACTTACCATCAGGTGGACTGTGTGCTCGTTTGTCACCCCATTCTATAAAAAGAATGTTGTCGAACTACATATGTCTTCGAAATATATTTTTTCTTATTTCTTACATATGCAGGTTTCCTCACGATGATTTCCTTCACCGTCGAGCACGTAGTAAATCAGCACTTAAAATTGCAATTAACAATCATTAGTGCCGGCGGGGTTCGAACCCGGTTTGCTCGCGTACTGTGAAATTTACAGCGAGCGCTCAATCAATGAGCTACCACGGCTTTCCAAGTGCTTTTATCGAGATATAAATCTCAAATCCTTTCATCCACTAAGACGCCATCTGCCCGCTAGGTTACGCTATCAAAATTGCCCAAAAAAACTTTGAAACTACTAATAAAACTCAAAAACTATTAAAGAATATATTGAAATATTTAATAAAAATTTTATTTATCACTATATAATTAGACTTTATTCTAAAAAATAAGGACACTTACATGAGCTACCGCAGCATACAGAAGAAATACTCTGATATTCACCGCCATCGGTGTCTGTCTATCTACAACATTGTCAAATTAACAACTGTATCTTTATTATATACTATACTTATTGCTCTATGTTTAAACGCAATAGTATATCGAAATAGCTTACCAACAAGTTATCAGCGATTAATTTCTCCACTTTAAATGTAAGTTAACATATCTGATTCATATTCGAAACACAACCGAAAGCGAGGAACGATAGATCACGTCGGCTGTTAATGATGGAAATGGGGAAATGATAGTATGATAGTTGTATAAGTAATATATTTAATTCGAAAATATATAAGTCTTATCCAATAAATCTTAAATATAATATTTATATATCAGTTAACATTTATTGTTCGTTTTTTTTTAACATAATCACATTCTCAATAATTTTTTTAGCTAAGCATAGTCCTTTTGTTTGAGGCCTTTCATTAATTTCACGTGGTTTACATAACATTTACAAGCAACTTTATCTTTATTTACGGTGGCATCACCACTAATACGATTACTTGCAAATTTTTCGAGAAGTTTATTTTCCACCAACCTACATAAAAGTAGAGTCGCGGTAGATCAAAGGATAAGCTCTCGTAATTAATTGAACATCGCGTACAAACGAGTTCGATTCCCGCCGGCACCAAAGAAGTTGTTAATTTACATAAAATTAAAGTTACAGCCTATATACACAGCATGTATAGGCACAGGCCTTCCCTCATTTCTGAGAGGGTTTTAGGGCAAGCAAGTGTCCGCCGCGCTGCCCCAATGCGTGTTAGCGAAATTCACGTGTCTTCGAAATATTTTTTCTTATTCCACAAGCGTGCAGATTTCCTCACGATGTTTTCCTTCACCGCCGAGCACGTGGTAAATCAGCACTTAAAATTGCAATTAACAATTTCATTGGTGCCGGCAGGGATCGAACCCGGGTTACTCGCGTTCTGTTATATTTACAGCGAGCGTTAACCATCTAAGCTACCATGGTTCTGTTAATTTATGTAATAAATAAATATGTAATAACTTCCCTGGTGCCAGGGTGCCAATCTCAGAAATAAGAGGTCTTGAATCGGGACGTTAATACAGCCAAACGAGAGGGGCCTCGGTTGCGTTCTGAATAGAGATTCCGGGACCACGCTTATACGCTGATGGTGAACACTGTGGGGTTTTAGCCGGTAGAAATCCGTCATAACCTGTTCGTTGCCCTCGCAGCAAAAGGTGTCCATGTGGATTTGTCCACGATAAAAAAGGTATTTGAATAGCAGTGTTACGCCAATGGTCTGTACATAAAATTATTCTATACACAAATTCTAAAGATATTGACATACTTATATTTATAGTATGATTATGTGAAGACTATGGCCGTGTTCCGATATACCACTGCGAGCACTGCTCAGTGCTTTCAATGGTGAAAAATTTGTTCCGTTATAGACTGCCAGTACACTGCTGCAGTACCTTAGGGAAATATATGACGTCATAAATCGCCGCCATTTTTGTACTGTGAATACCGGCGCTTTCGATGTAAGGTGCTCGCAATACTTTGATCAGATGATCAAAAAAACAACAGCGCCTAGAGATAAAACAGCTTGCACGAATTTTTGTTATTATTATTAAATATTACTGTTATTCAAATAAACTCTGTAATTAAGTTTTAAAAGCAAAAACATTTAAATAATATGTTTTCTTGTTGAACAGAAAACGTGTCAATGATAAATATTTTCATTTGAAAACAACGTCGAAAAATTAGGATGATAGTATACTGGACTGCGTTCCGTTTTAAACAGTAACCACTAACCAGTATAGCAAACTAAAAAGGTACGGCTTCACAGTATACTGAATTGACGTCACACCTTACAGTGGTAAAATGTATATTCGAACACACCCAAGTGCTGGCCAGCAGCCTGTAAGAATCTTGCCGGGCCGACTTTCAGCTTCTAACGCTCGACGGATGCTTGCCAACCGCGGTCACAAATTTGTCTTGTCAGAATGTTGAAAGGCGCGCTTTCCATTTGATTTGTACCAAACGCTGCACATCATCAGAAATTCCGAGGACGTACGTTCGAGTGACGCGCACGTATTGGTAGTGAGACTGATGAAAAATTACCGAATTAATATCAGAATATTTAATTACGGAGGTTGAATAATATGCATGGCTATGCAATACTGATGATAAACCAGAACGCCGTAACGAATTTTTTGTACGGTGGGGCATTCCGTGCGCGTTAGAAATTATCTGACAGAAAATATCTTATGTGTAGCCGGCCTAATTGACTTAAACCTCACTTAAATTAGACCGTTTCGAATCGTAATCGAATGGGCAGCACGGTAGACTCTCTACGGTCACTCCAGCAGAAATAAAGAGGACTGGTTGCACCCTGCAGTGGTGGTATATTTATAAGCCGTTGCTACTGAGTTCATTCATTCTGCTTCGTGACGAAACCATTAATTATAAAACTTGTATTTACACAGTGATGTATTTGGGTTATAAAAAGGAAAACATTTATAGACATTACTCATTTCTTACTTAATTTTGTGCTTTATTAATAATTACTTACAAACTTACAAGAAGATATTAGGTACTTAATATCTTCTTGTAATGATTTCTTATATTTACGCGAACACTACACATTGAAATAATACTAGTTTTTACGGAATTTATCGCGTATATTTAACTTTTTGCCCAATGCTCCATTACGCCCCATAGTGAGCCAAATCGATTCACCAACTTACAGATTGGCTCAACACTTAGCGAAAATACTCTCACCGCTCAGGGGACATACAAGAGCACACATAAAGGATTCCTACCATTTTGTCAGCGAGATTAAAGACCTACGTCTGGCAGACAATGAAACTATGGTCAGTTTTGATGTGCAGTCATTGTTTACATGCTTACCTGTTGAAGACTGCATCTCAATTGTAACTAGAAGGCTGGAAGAAAACAACATGCCCGTAGAATATGCAGTATTACTCAGACACTGCCTTACATCTGGCTACCTATTGTGGAAGGAGGAGTTCTACAAGCAAGTAGATGGTGTGGCGATTGTGGCTCACCTGTATCTCCCATTGTCGCCGACATATTCATGGAAGACTTTGAGGAGAAAGCCCTGCTTACTTCTCCCATAAATCCAAGTTTCTACAAGCGGTACGTAGACGACACTTTCACAATTCTACCTTTAGATAAAGTAACTGCATTTTTAGACCATCTTAACTCTAAAATTCAGTTCACAATGGAGTTAGAGGCAAACAATTCCTTAGCTTTTCTAGATGTGTTAGTAATTCGGAATCCTGATAACACCTTGAGCCATACTGTGTATAGAAAAAAGACCCATACAGATAAATATTTAAACGGTGATTCTCACCACCATCCTTCACAGTTAGCTACCGTGGGTAAATCTTTGTTTCAGAGAGCACGAGGGATCTGTGACATTAAACACCTGGCTGCCGAGCTCCAACATGTCAAGCAAGTTTTGCATGACAACAAGCTTCGGGTCCCGCGCCTACGTCACAGAGAACGAGTGAAGCCGGCCACAGTCGAGCGTGTACCTACTGTACTGCCATATGTTAGAGGAGTCACTGACAAGATTGGCTACATCTTGAAGCGCGCTTCCATCAAAACATACTTCAAGCCGCCGAAGAAGATTGGTCAGTTTTTACCATCAGTCAAGTGTAACGTCCCTCTGCAAGATGCAGGAGTGTACAAGCTTGATTGTGAATGTGGTCTCTCCTACATAGGACAAACTAAAAGATCCATTAAAACCCGCGTCAAAGAACATATAGCTGATGTGAAGAATCGACGCTCCGGGAAGTCTGCAGTCTGTGAACATGTACAGGATCGCCCCCGTCACTACATCAGATTTGATAGACCACAAATCCTCGCTAAAGAACACCGATTCCTTCCAAGGATGATTCGCGAGGCTATTGAAATCAAAAAACATCCTAATTTCAATAGAGAAGATGGCTAGGTGCTGCCATCTGCTTGGGATCCTATAATAAATAAAATTAAATCCCAACCCAAGCATACAACTGCAAGACTCCATGATACCATAAGTTCATACTGTGTAGATCGGAACAAAAGTTAAATTTTAATCTATGGTAACCGCGGTTAACTATGACAGCTGGACGTTGAACATCTCAGTCCGTCCCGTGACCATGGGTGCTGTAAAGCTCTCGAAACGTCGGGTAATTAAAAAGTTAAATATACGCGATAAATTCCGTAAAAACTAGTATTATTTCAATCTTCTTGTAATTTTGAAGCTTTGTATAAGTGTTATCACTAGAGTGACGACCTGAGAAATGCAGGTGGCTCCGGACCGTGTTTTGTGTCATTTCTATGAGAGAGCTAAGTTCAGCAGCAGACTTGTGAAAGGCTGTAATGATGATTATGATGATTTTACTTTATTCTGATTATCACTCAAAGGTAAAATTGCGATCAAGCAATGCGAAACGCTTTCTTTTAGTTAAGACTTTAATTCTCTAACTACTTCACACGTTTTTTAAATGACAAATCTGAATCCAAATATAAACAGAAAATTGCCAAAACTTATAATATAAGAATACGTAATAAGTTATTTATAAATTATATATTAAAAATACTGCTAAGCAAGTAGTAAAGCATTTTAAAAGGCACATTATACGACAGCGTAGCTTTATTGACGCACCTATATAGCGACCCAAAAAAAGTTCATTGAATCCGGTAAACAATCGTATTGGTGGACACTTCCGTCCGCTGAAGATGTGGGGCTGGCGGAGTCGCCTCTGATGAATAACAATTGATTGCAACCGGGCCAACAGACACAGCTTATTTCCGATGCGACGGAGCCCTTGATTTAATAAGGTTGCCATATCAAAAAATATTTATTATAATTTAAATTCAAATACGATTTTTCTTTCTTACTCTGTGTAATATTGTATTTAGATGATATATTATTGTTATTAATTTCGTTTTTAAATTTTAATAAAAGCAAAAGTCACACAAAAACACTTCTTTTTTTAAATTATGATTTAAAGATTGTGTCATTTTACTTCGCCAA